GTACAGGGTGGGAGGAGTTGCCCTACATCTGGTGATCAGGGAAGATAGCTCTGTTTAAGTGATGGGCAGCAGAGACCTGAATGTGAGGATGTGAGCCATGCAAGCAAGGCACAGCAGGTGCAAAGGCACTGAGGCAGTATGCCAGATCTATGCCACACAGAGGGAGGTACAGTCTTATCCAGTCTCAGCTGGTGATTCTGGGCACCACATAGTTTAGGACATTGTCAAATGAGAGCACTTCAAGGTAGTAAAAGGGTCTGGAACCTGCTTATGTGAGGGTGAGTTAAAGAAGAAAGTGACTTTGGCATACCTGGCTGGCTCTCCTCAAGTGCATGAAGAGCAAACACAAGGCTGAAGGCTGAGAATTATCCTCCGTGATCAATAACTGGGACCATTCATTCACTCTGGCTGTAATATACCATAGAACAAGTTCCCCTTGCCCAGTAGTGAGCTCCCTGTTATAGGAGGTATTCGAGCAAATGCAGACAATCTACCAAAGACAGAGAAGATGACTCGCCCATCTCAGGCTGCAATAGGAGACTTCTGAGGTTATGCCCGTCGAGGAGATTCAGAACTTCACCCTGACCCCTCTCTCCAGCTTCTCTCCCTTTCTGCCCTCTCTGTTTCCATGCTCCCACCTTGCTCACCCTCAGGATGAAGCAAACGTGTACACACAAACACACAATAGCAGGTAAAGCAGTGTAGGGGAGAGAAAGCGAAGACCAGGAAGGCAGAGAAAGAGGAAATGAAGAGAAGAGGCAGGGAAGGGAGAGGAGGGAAGAGGGAGGCAGAGACGTGGGTGTGAGGCTTCAGAGTCAAGGAGTCCATGATGACCCCACTGCAGGTCCCCAGAGCAGCAAATGGGTAATCTTGAATCACAGCTCATTGAGGACTTCCTGTTTTCAGTTTGTCTCTGAACATTTGGAGGGGTTTCCAGCTAGTAAATAAAGCAGAGTGCCAAGACTCCCTCCCCAGGCCAACAACCATTTCACCATCCCTATGGCTGCCCGTCCTCAATACCCTCTGACCCTGCCTAGCCTCTTGCCTGAGGACCATGCCAGAGTCCCCTCCATACCTACCCACCCGGCTCCAGGCCCCCTGCCCTCTTCTCCAGAGTTCCTGACTCGATCAGTCTCTCAGGATAGAAGGACAAACCTCTGAGAGTGCAGAATCCAGGCTGAACATTTACAGAAAAATTCACCTTGAAAAAGACATGTGTTCCTGAGACACATTTTCTTTGCCTTTTCCCATACTCCCACATTCTTCCTTCCATTCCCCTGCCCTCTCCCAAGTTACAAGTGGATCTTTATCCAGCCTTCTTAAATGCAATCCAGCAAACATGTCTGACACATCTGCAACGTGCCAGGTGCCTGGGTTACGACTAGGAGGGAAACACGCCATCTGTCCTCAAGAAGCCAACAGTCTGATGGGAGGCAGACATGGGTTGAGCCAAGGGTAGAGCTGAGCTTTTTGGGGCCCAGACATCACACAATTCAGAGGCCTTCTGTTAGGAAAAGACTATAAAATGGCCAGGCACATTTTGTCCTTGGGTTTTAGAAGAGCCTGTATACCAGAAACCTGGGTTACATCCTCACTCCTGGAGAGGGGAGGATGGGCATCCCCCACCCCAAACCACTCAGACAGGAGCACGAGGAAAGGCTGGACTGATCACTAATTGATTAACTAATTAATGAACTAAATCCTTATGTTTACACTGTCTCTATTTGTGCTCTGTTGTCTATTCTGTGAATAAATGAATAATTTGTTGTACATTCAACAAATATGTACTTAGGGCTCCTGTAATAACTGGGACAAAATTCAGCCGTGTAACAAAGACCTAAGGTGGCCAAAATAAGCCAGGGCTTTCTCACGCAGTGGTCTGGGTAAGAACAGCCCAGGGTTCATGCAGAACTTCCCTGGTTTTAGGGACCCAGGCCCCTTCTATCTTGTTGATCATGCATTCCTGGGCTGTTGCTCTTCAGTCACAAGGTCAAAGATGGTCCACACTCCAGCCAGCAGGAAGAGGAAAAGCCCTGCCCTTCCCTTTAATGACAGACCTGGAAGTTCGGACCCCACTTCTGCTCACAGAAGCAGAAAACCTGGGCACATGGGCACATGCAGGTGCCAGGGAGAGGGGGAAGTGTGATATTTATTCTGTGGGAGGTCATGTGCCCCTAGATGGGGTGCTTCATGACTGTAGAAGAGAAGGGACGTTGTGGACAGCTTGAAGTCTCCAAGACACCCTGCAGTGTATGCTGTGCTGTCTAGGAAACCGAGAAGCAGAAGAAGCTCTGGTCCTTTCCAGAGCCACCCATTGATAAAACTGAATTAAACAAGCTGTCTCCCACCTATTCTTTCATTTTGGTAACTTTAACTCTTTCTACCAGACCACAAATGTTGACTGAAGATGAAATACTCTGATCATTAAAGGGGAGGTTGGAGGAATAGGAGGCAATAAAGTGAAGAAGTTGGCAGGAAAAAAGAGAACCAGAAGAAAGTAGTGGGGTACAAACCAAGATTCAGAAAGCTTGGCAATTTCAGATGTCATGAAATGCCCAACAGGATGCTGATCAAAAGAACGCTATTAGATTTGCCAGTAAGGAGGTGACAGGTGACCTTTGCCAAATCAGTTTCAGTGGAATGGAATCCAAAGATGGTGAGTTTAGGGGTGAGAGAAATGTGAAGGACACACCAAGGACAGTGAAGCCCCAGGGTATTGAAAAGCAGGAACAACTCGAGGAGAATCTATGATTCCTATGATCACGTTGACCCAAAGGATAAAGCATCAACAGAGAGCCATAAACAAAGAATATAGCGCAGAAATGTAGTTTGTCTGCTTCAGCAAAGACCAACAGAACAGTGACTTAAACAAGATTAAAGTCTACCTCTTTCTCATGTAAGAGTCTGAGCATGCTCAGTCAAGAGCAAACTGGGGACTCCATGGTGTTGGGAATCCAGGTTCCATCCACCTTATTACTCAGCCATCCTCAACATGCAGCTTCCATCCTGGGGTCTGAGATACCAGGCAGAAGAAGCAAAAGAGAAAGGGGAGATTGCCTTCATCATGAAGGCAGCACTCAGAGCTTGCTCACAACAACTACCACGCACATGTTCATTGACCAGATTCCAAGACTTGACCGTATCTACCTATGAGAGAGACTGGAACAAAGCAGTCTTTAGCTGAGAGATTAGATGCCCAGATGAAACTTAAGGGTCCTATTACTAAAGGAGGAGGGGCCAGTAAGCAGTCAGTCTAGGTAGACCTAGAACAAAGGGCAGGTCAGCCAGGGGTGGGAGGCAGCACGCAGCTGCCTGGAGGAAGAAGCAGAAAGCTGGTGAGCTTGGAAAGGGCTGGAAAATAGGGAACTCCTGCTTGGTCACTTTATATTCTCTGCAAAGTGGGACTCAGAGTCACCACTGCGAGGCTGGGACTCTCAGAAAGCCAAAAAAGGGGGGGGGGGAGGTGCACCAAGTGTCACTCCCCACCATTATTTCCCATCTGTTGGGGTGCAGCAGCAGGTGTGCACCTGTAGATTGCCTGAAGATAGTCTGAAGAACAGCTGTGCTCTTGGAGTCCTGAGCTTCCTTCCCAGCTCTGTGCTTAGCTGCCATATGGCCTTGGACAAGGCAAGAAATCTGTTTCTACATCTGTTAAATGACCATAATAATGCCCACGCTGTCTGCCTTGCAATCCTGTTCTGTGTCCCAGGAGGGAGCTGTGAAGCTGCTTTGTATGTTGTGGAGCTGTAGGTGGGCATCGTCCCGGAGAGATGGATTGGAGTTGTCAGGATGCTGGTTGACCCTCAAGGGGAAGTGGGAGAGGGCTAGGAGAGACCATAGGGACAGAAGAGCCCCCACACAGGCTGCCTGGCACTTGCCCAATCCCCCCGCCAGGGGATCTGAGCTCCCCCTGCCTCTGGCCCAACATCAGAACCCTCTACTGTCCAGGCGGAAGTGACAGAGGAGGGGGCGGCTCTCCCAGCTATTCACAGCCAGTGACAGTCAGCCTCAGTTCTGTCTTGAGAGCACGGTCAAAGAGCCTTGGTCTCGTCACCCGCGTTTGGCCTTAGAGGTTCTCCTGGGGCCTCTCCTTGACCCCAAGGCCCCACTTCATGTTCCTGGCCTCAGCTAAGTAAACAGTGCAAGCTTCTCTCCCAGGCCTTTGGCCAAGCACAACTAACCTTGTCCAGTGTACACACACACATGTGCACACACACACACTGCTTGCACACACAAGCACCACATACAGCACGCATCTCATACATACAAACACACCAAATACGTACACCACAAACACTGCACATGCATGCCACACACGTACCCACACACTACATATATGTCTCCCACAAACTACACATACATGCAACCCACATGCACACACCCAACACATACATACCACGTGCATACATACACACATTCCCTTTTTCCTAACTGGTCTCTATCCCGTATCACATTCAACCCTCCATTCAACCCACTATGCAACTACTTGAGAGATTTTTCTAAAACACAAATGAGGATACTTTCTTGTTTCAACTCCTCCACTTCTTCCAGTGGTTTTCCAGAGCCTTCAGCCTCTTAACAAAATGGCTGAGGTCCCCCAAGGCCTGCTTTCTGACAACCCACTTCAGCCATCCCTCACCGTCCTGCCCTGTCGGCCAGTCTGAACCATATTCCCAGTCCCGCTGCCCAGTGGTTCCCCCACCTCTGCTTTGCCCACCCTCTCTGTCCTCTAAAGCAATGCCCCTCCTGAAACATATATTTATTCTCTCAAACTCTATTCAGAGCTCACCTGTTCTGTACAGATTCTCCTGACAACCCAGATGGAATGTTCCCTTCCTCCTCTACATTCTAGTGGAATGACTAGTTTCCTATGTCTGTCTCTTCTGCTAGGCAGGTGACTTTCTCAAGGTCACTATATATGGCACGCTGGGCCTTGGCATTGGGTAGGTGCTCTGAGAATGCTGGGTGGGTGGCACTCACTCCCTCATCTCCTCACACAGATCAAAGTAGAGAACCAGCATGACTACCAGGACATCACCAGCATGGTGGCAATGGCCAAAACCTACGCCACCACCGAGGCCTTCATTGACTCGAAGTACGACATCCGCATCCAGAAAATTGGATCCAATTACAAGGCTTACATGTGAGTCCCTGGGGCTGGGGGGCTGGGAGGAAGGGTGGGAAGAGAGTGTAGGAGGAGCAGTAACTAGTGATGCGTGTTCAGGCCAGTCTCCTCCACCCCAGGACAGAGACCCTTCAGCACACCATTATTCTCCCTTTATGTCTCCTTCTGCCCTCCTTACTGCCCTTCTTCCCTGATCGGTACAGCTAAATGCTAATGCTTTCTCACAGCTTATCCCAGGGTAAAGATCTGCCTACCCAAAAAGAGCTGTTTCTCCCAGAGCAAGACGGACACTTGGCATGTTTGAGGGAACTTTGAGTATGTAAGGGATGTACATCATAAGAGACCAGGCTGAAAGAGACACCTGGGGACAAATCAAGGAGGTCCTTGAATGCCTTGCTGAGGGTTTAGGGGTTTTGTTCTTTTCTCTTCTGAGCAGAGAAGTGGCATCATCTGACCTGTATTTATAAAATGATGGCTCTGGAGCCACGGGCTGCAAAAGGGTTTCTCTGGAGCTAATAAGACTAATTAAGAGATTACACCAGATCTCTCCAGCTACATGCAACAGAAACCACATCTGACTAACCTGAGGGAGTTTTTCAAAGGGATTTTATTAGAAAACCATGAATGATCAGAAACTCTAAAAACAAACAAAACCACTAAACTATCAATTTCAGAAATATGAGGATCCAGGGCAGCTCCAGGAATCTGGGTGGCCCGAAGCAACAATCTTCATGGCATCCCCACTGGGACATGAATCTGCCCAAATCATTTTCAGTGCTTAACTCAAGGTTGTGATTCCATGGAAACAGTGCTGATTAATCCAACTTGGGTCACATGCTTACTGGTTAGAGAAGGGCAGAAAACAAGTATGGAGAGTCCCACCAAGATGAGATGCCATATGGGTGGCCTCATCCCCCAGTGGAAACTGAGGCACCGTGACAAAGGAAGGAAGAATGGATGCCAAAAAATCCAACACACATTCACCCTAGGGGTGGTTCTGGCAAAGGATGACTCACACTCAAGCTGCTGCAGTCGTGAGTCCTTGAAGAGGTGGGAGGTCTTATCTGCTCCAAGACCTCTCTGGGTCTCACTTTGGAATGTTGTGGTTGGCTCCACTTAAAATGACAAGACCCCAGAGAGCCATCCAGTGCAGGGTTACCAAGCATTAATGGAGCACTGACTGTATGCATGGCTCCATATCAGATGGACGGCAATGGCTAGCCTTGGACAGTTGGAAATCTCTCATGTGCTGCTATACAGTGGAGCTTGTGCTCTAGGTCAGGGTCAGCAAACCACAGCCCACAGGCTAATTCCAGCTGCCACCTGTTTCTGTAAATAAAGTTTTATTGACCATAGCCAGACACATCCATTTATGTATTACTTAGGGTTGCTTTGGCACTACCTGGATTGCCTAGACTAAGGGTCAGCAAACTTTCTCTGTAAAGAAACTAGATGGTAATTTTAGATTTTTATGGGCCACATGTTCTTCCCTGCAACTACTCCACCCTGCCATTCCCTGGGGAACTGGAGAAGATGCTGGCAGTTGACCTGGCAAGGAAAGATTCCCAGAAAAGGGATGAAGCCCGTTCTCAAGGAATTCTTCTGCTCTTTCTTCCACCCATGAGCCAAGCCAGACCCGTCACAGCTCTCAGATCCCTCAGGGTGATAAGATCGGCTCTTCCCTGCCCCCTCTGAATTGGGGAATGTTCCAGTGCAGCAGTCCAGGGCATTCCTGAGGCCTCCACCAATCCGTCATGATATCATTTCCCTCCTCTCCTCATTGTTCGCATTTCCACTTGACATTGACGACACCTTGTCCCAGTTTCTCTTCTTGAAGATTAGCTCATTGCTGCATTCCTTATGCTGAGCCTTTCTGCCCTGGCAGCTCCAATTTGTCATTAGTTATGGCTTTTCCTGGACCCTGGGTTGGCCCCAGTCCGAGGGAGGGGGTTCATGTCAGACCTCAGTGTACAGCGTCCTCTCCACCCCCAACCATTCAGCCTCCTTTCTGGTGCACTTCCTGCCCTGCACTCAGGCCTTTGCACTTGTTGCTACTGGGCTGTCATTGTTTCTAGGGCTCTCTCAGCAGACAGAGCTAGGAAATATACGTGTGTCCCTTAGCCCACGTATGCTCACGTATCTGTAATTATTTCTATATATAACCAGCTCTATCTAAAGCTACAGAGAGTCCGTATCGATGTGTCTGACTTTCTTCTAGTACCACGTGAATCATCTCAGCCTTCCCAGATTGCTTATCTATAATTTCCCACTGCAACAGGAAAATACCTGGCTCCTACCACCCGCTATCTATTTGTTCAATCCCAGTACAATTGCAGAACCATTAACTTGGAGCCCTGTGGGAAAGAGCTTTACCCAGTGCAGTACGGTGTTTGTGTACAGCTCCTTTTATATTTAGTCATACAGCCTGCATGCACATCCAAGGTTACTTGGGGACATACCTTACTACCCACCCCCGCTCTCTTCAGTGAGGGAGTCAACACCATACGTTTAGAATATAGGTAGATTCTTTTGTCAAAGTCTACATTCTGTCCTACATTCCAGCAGGTGCATCACATTTGGACCAACTGACTCTCTCCCCCCGCCCCCCACCTGTGATGAGCTCTGCCATGGAGAGTCCTGGCACAGAGCATGGAGCTTCTCAGATATGGTTTTGTGGCTTCTGCCACTAAGTGGGAATGATCATAATAGTAAATATGTCTCATCAGGTTTTGTGAGCCTGAAATAAGTCAGTGCTTACAGAGCCCTTAGGCCCATGTCTCAGACATGGAAAGCACTCACTGAATAGCACCTCTCTCAATCATTATTTTCTTGGAAAGAGAGCAATCTGGCTTGTGTTCCTGTTCCTTCTGGCACTGCAGTGCCTTCTTTTCGTGTCTCAACTTACTGAAAAACAATAGTAGCACCCACTGTACGAAGACATTTATGGGAATATCTCCTTTAGTCCACACAATATATCAGGATGGAGATCATCCTCATTTTACCAATGAAAAAATAAAGACTCAGAGATGTGCATAGTTACACAGCTACAAAATTCTGGAACGAAGATGCAAACTTGCACCTGTCTGACCCAAGTCAGTTCTTACCTTCTCTTACCACCATGCAGATTCCACCATACCAACCCTACCACTCTCCAAGGCGCATCCCATGGTTACATCTGGGGTCCACCCTCCAAGGCACTTCTGGGGTCACATTGAATGAGTCTGTTTTTTCCTTTGCTTTCCCAGAGCCCCTTGATGCTCAGGTATGCTGCTAACCTTACCATTCCTCTACTCTGGTTTTAAAGTAATCCACCCTTCCAGGTAGTGATCAGCCTTAGGATGGTGTCATCTGTGCACACTGAGCCTAGTCCAGTATCCAGGACATAGGGTGGCCCAGTGAGTGTTTGCCAAATTGAATTGAATCGAGATGGGCTGAATTGAACTGACATCAAGCTTATGAATGTCACTACACCCCTTAGCAATTCTAGCTCCTATTGGCCACCATCAATTCTCAGCATCTGTTGTCCTCAGATGCATTTTATTTTCTCTTTTAGAAGGATGTATTTGAGTAGCAACTCCTCCTCCCAGTTCACCCTCTCACCTCAACCACATGCCTTCTCTGGGCCACAAAACAGAAAGATTTGCCTCTGCTCCTTTGCTTACACCCATTTAGGCTTTGCTGAGTCCAGATCAGCCCCCTGGAGATCAATTTGTTTCAATTCCTCCCCAATACACACAGTTCCTTACCCAGTAATTGGGTACCCACTACATGCTGGGTCCCACTGGACACCAGGGAGAAAGGGGATGAGTCAAATATGTCCCTGCCCTCAGAGAAGACTGGATAAGAAAGCAGTCATTCCAAGTGAGATAAGCATTACTAAGCATTGGTATAGGCATGTCTACTCTTGTTGGGGAGGTAGACTGCTGAGAAGTCACATGTCATGAAACGTGAAGGATGAGTAGGCTTTAGGGAGGCAAAAATGGAGACAAAGACTGGATCTGGCAAAGGGAAGAATATGCATAGAAGCTTTGACATAGGAAAAAGCCATGGCCTTGGAGCACTGCAGGGGAGGTCAGCTGTTGCTGGAGCAGAAAGGCAAATGAGTGGCACCTGGGTGGCTTGGTCATTGGGCATCCAACTCCTGATTTTGGCTCGGGTCATGATCTCACAGTTCCTGAGTTTGAGCCCCACATCACATCAGACTCCACGCTGCCAGCACGGAGTCTGCTTGGGATTCTCTCCCTCTCTGTCTCTCTTCCCTTCTCCAACTCACACACACATGTGCACACTGTCTCACTCCCTCAAAATAAATAAATAAACTTAGAAGAAGAAGAAGAAGAAGAAGAAGAAGAAGAAGAAGAAGAAGAAGAAGAAGAAGAAGAAGAAGAAGAAAAGGCAAACAAATAGAGAGGGTGTTGAGGCCAGGAGGCCTTTCTGCCCTTCACCATGAAAAAGTGATCACTTCTCTCCATGGATTATTTTTCCTACATTTTGGAGCCTGAAATTCCATGATCACTAGTGGCTCTATTGCCCTAGTTCTCCTTTTCAAATACAAGAGTCCAGAGTTAGGGAGATTTCATCTGATGGTGTAGGCATTTTTAAAATCTAATTCTTAGGTTTCAGAGGTGGCTTAGAAGAAGAAAGTCCAACAAATTAATAAGACAACAACATAAAGGAAAATAAAATAGGCAAAGCTGGGGACAAGATATGTACTTAATAATACATGCTATCATGTGAGCCACGTATATGAATCGGTGCCTCCTAACATCCAGAGCAAAGAAGGAAAGCAGAGCAGTGACAGTGTCCTAATGCCCTCAGTGTTATTTTTCTGATACAGGAGAACCTCCATCTCTGGAAACTGGAAGGCCAACACAGGCTCTGCCATGTTGGAGCAGGTGGCCATGACAGAGAGGTAAGAGATGAAGGAGGTGTAATAGGGTGACGCACCAGCCGCGGCAGGAGGTGGGTGAGGGACACAACGAAGCCTGTAAGGAATGCCATTCACCCTCTGGCCAGTGCCTCACCACCCACAGAGCGCTTTCCTAGGCACAGCAGCCCTTTATTGCACAAAAAGCTGCAGGGCAGATGTTTTATGATCCCACTTTACAGATGGGAGAAGACAGTTCAGAGAGGGAAAGTGACTTGTCCAGGGTCATCACAGAGCTCATCAATGACAGAGCTGAGAGTAGAGACCCCTGATGCCTTAACTCCAAGTTCAAGGGTCTTTCCAGCCCTTCCCAGCTACTGCAGAGAGAGCAGGAGTCCTCACCAGCCCCCTCTGTGCTCTCACAGGTATATGAAAGCATCCTTAGTAGGCCACCAGGGCTACTGGAATGTTCACTCTCCTCTCAGACTTATCTCCATCTCAGTGCCAGGAGGGAGAGGGTATTTCCAATGAGTCATGAATGTGGTATGTGCACTCTGGCTGGAAGTCTCTCAGGTCTTTCTGCATTTAAACACTGCTGGGAGCTCCCTTCACCTAAAGAAGGGCCAGTCACCTGTGACCAGGGCCAGCAGCACATACACGTTCTTTCCTGCAAGCTGGCTGGCCTGAGTGTAGGCATGCAATGAGAGTGGATAGAGTGTGGACTTTGGGGTGAAAAAGATCCACCATTGAATGAACATTTATTAAGTGCCTGCTGCATGCCATGTTGTGCTGAGCACTGAAGAAGCCAGGATGAAAAGATCCAGCCCTTCCCTTTGGAGACTCTGTGTCCATGGCAAGTGTCAGAACACAAACCTCATTGGTCAGAGATGCAGGATTTGGGCGTGTGGCAATGAAAATTCCAGAGGTGCATCTCTAGGTAAGACTCTAGAGCTCATCCTACACACCTCAGGCAGCTTTGTTCTATGTTGGATGGCTTCATTCTGGCCAGTGCATTCATTTGGTGGCCCATAGTAGCTCCAGGCTCCCATCCTGGGTGTCAAGTCCCACAGGGCAGAACTTCTCTTTCTCAGACATTTCAACCAAAGACTGTAATTGAGCCCTATTCAATGATTGGCCTACCTCAAGTCACATGACCATCCCTGAACCAATCACTATGGCCCAGAAAGCAGCACCACCATGATTCAGTGGGCCTCCGTCTCCTCTCTGCCCCCTGGAGATTAGGGTGGGAGCAGGGGCCTATAGCAGGAATGAGTGAGGGAGACAGGAAGGGGTATGATGCCAAGGAACATTAGGAAGTATAGGAGGGAAAATAAATGTTGTGCAGATTAAAACAACAGTCCTGGCTCCCCAGTCAAGGTAGGAGACAAAGAGTGTGTGGTATGTTGGGGGTGGAAGCAAGCTTTAGGTGCTTGCAAAGGGAGCACAGAGAAGGGGCATCCAATGCAAGGAGAGGTGAGATCAGGGAAAGCTTCCTGAAAGTGGTGGCACCACAATCCCCCTGCAAAGAACGAGTAGGAGTTGGGAGGCTTTCCTTCACTTCACTGTCAGGTTGTCTGTTGAGCACCAGCTGGGAGCCAGTTATTGAGCCAGGCTCTGGGGAAATGGTGGCAGACAGATGGACATGGCCCCTGCCCTCATGGAACTTATTTCTGGAGTTTTAAGAAGGAGCAGGATGTGAACAAAAGTGAATGGTCCCGTCCCTTCCAAGCTATGTTCCCTCGGGTAAGTTAACTAACTTCTGTGAACTTCTGCAATTACTCATTGGAGGGAATAAGCCAGAGGGCTGAATGGGAGAGGGATGTTCTATACCTAACACAGCAGCAGCCATGGCGGAGAAAGGCTGCCTTCCCTTCCTATCACCCACAGGTGGCAGTTGCTGCCTTCAATCTGGGAACCCACCTGTGCCAACTAGTCTCAGAAAGGGGAGGGTGTGTTCATGACCTTGCACCACTGAATCATCTGGTCTAAGGCAGTCCTTTCCTTCTCCTAATGGACATTTATGGGACATTGTGGTCCTTTTCCCCATGGCCTTTCCAGAACGTGGGCCCAGCCTTCTGCCATGCCTCATGAGCTGCTCACAAATTACCCCAGAAGGCCACCATATCCCTAGCTCTGCACAGTTCCAAGCCACTTGGGCCAGTCCCATAAGAGCCTACAATAGGTGTGAGTCTGTTTGGTCCTGAATTCACTTTCCCTTCTGTAAGGCCATGAGTAGTACTCCCAGAGCCTGGGACAGAGCTCCCCAATCCCACCTCCACAGGGGAAAAATCTCTGGGGGCCCATAAACTGGCCCTGGCCCTCTCTCCACCTGCCTACGTATTTGCCAGGTAGCCTGATTCCTTGGCAAAACCAATAATATGGCTTGGTCGGTGCTGATCCCACCTGGCTGGAGGGGAGCATGGGCCCATGTTCTCCAGCCTCTCCCACACTGCTCCACCCCTAAAGTCCCTTCCTTGGCCCTGAGAAGTGGGGAGAGCTGTACTCCATGGGTTGCGGCCAGTAGCTTTTCCAGAAGTTCATTGGTTGAATACAGCCTCTAGAAACCAGTCTTCTCCAGACTGGTCTTGGTCCAGACTTCCATCTTCCATTGAGAAGACACCTGATTTAGGAGTGTGTTTTGGGGCATGGGCCTCCCTAAACTGGAGTCAGCCAGTCAGTTCACTGTATTGGTGCTAAGTACAGAAACGCTGGTCAGAGAGCCCAGGTTACTCTTAGAGCTCTGAGGAGCAGAGGTTATCCTCAAATGTGGCTGCACATGAGAATCACAGGAGAAACTTAAAAAACTTATAGAGATTATGCTAACGTAGGGCAGGGCCCCCAAATCTGAATGTTTACTCTGTGTTTGTGTGCTCGACTCCCCTGGTGATCCTGATGCACAACTAGAATCATACCTAGGCCTTCCCATTTCTCAGATAAAGAAACTGAGGTTTCAAGAAGAGGCTTAGCCAAAACTATTGAGGAAATTAATAGCAAGACCCCAGGTCACTGGTCTCCCATGCTGAGGGAGAACAGGCTGCAATGTGTCCCAAGGGAGAGGAAGGGTGGCTTGCTTGATCTGTGAGATCAGACGGAATCTAGGTTTGGAAGCCAGTACAGTGACTTATTAACCTCTCTGAGCCTCAGCCTCCTCATCAGTAAGAATGGGCTAAAGCTTCATGCCAAAGTTGTGCTTGGGGTTAGAGAGAGAAAGAAGGGTCAACCCCCGCAGAAGGTCTGGTACCTACTAGGGGCTCAATAGCCATGAGTTTCCATCCTTCCTTTTCCTTCTGTGATCTCATGCTCCTTGCTACAGCTGAATGCAAAAACTGAGTTAGGATCCATGTAGTCCTGGCTCTATTACTGTCTTGCTGTGTGGCCTGGCCAAGCCACTCTTCCTCTCCGGGCCTCCATGGGCATTGGCAGTTAAGATGAGAGAGCGGTTCTAAGAGCACTTCAGCCATGATCTCTCCTCATTCCAGGCCTCATGGCTCAGAGACACAAATAGATCTCAGAGCAGGAATGCCCCGGGTGACCCTGGAGGGTGAGGAGAGAAGCGAGAACATTGACAAAAGTCCCCTGTGACTCCCAAATCCAGCCACCACAAGGGAAGCCAAGTGCAAGCCCGGGAAGGCTTCTCCAGATACAACCATCCCCTTGTTGCAGGGTCAAAGTCCAGCGTTGAGATCTTTCCTCTGCAAAGCAAACTGGCCTTACAGCCATCAAGTGGCTGGAAAGGGAACAAAAGCGTTGGGTCCAGAGGGCCAGGCCCCAGCCGCGAGAGCAGCCTGCCAGGCTCCCCTGCCTGCCCGCCCCAGGCTCCGGGGAGAATGCACCCTTTGTCCCCCTAAGCTCTCGTTTAGCATGGTCGCCGGGGCTGGGAGGGCGGCCTGGGAGGGATTGCTGAGCCCTTCAAGCAGCTTTCCCAAGGGAAAGGGGCTGCCAGAGTGGCTGAGTGGCCAGGAGGGCTCCGGATGGAGACAGGACAGGCTCTCCTCTACTGGGGAGCCAGCAAGGTCCTGGGGTAGGGGTAAAGGGCGGGTCTCTGAGATCTCTCCCACCTTTCATTCCCTCATCCTTCCTCTCTCCTGCTTCCTGTCCCCCTTTCTATTCAGGCTCTCTCTCTCTCTCTCTGTCCATCTATGTCTCTGCTTTTTTTGTGTATACCCATTCTGTCTCTCCCACTGCCTCTCTGTCTCCCTCTGTGTCTCTGTCTTTGCCTCTCTTACTGCATCTCTGTCTCGCTATTTCTGACCACCTCTCTCCATCTCTGAATGGATACACACGTGTCACTGTCCGTACTGTGGTCTGTTTGTCCATGTGCCTCTCTGTGTCTCCCTATCTGTCCCCGCCTCTCTCTCTCTCTCTGCTCCCCCTTCCTGCCCTCTCCCCCCATACTCACTGTCTGTCAATCCACCCCTGCAGGTACAGACTGTGGGTGGACAGCTGCTCAGAAATGTTTGGCGGCCTGGACATCTGTGCTGTCAAAGCCGTCCACAGCAAGGACGGCAGAGATTACATCATTGAGGTGAGGCATGAAGCAGGAGGTCCTCCTGGCCTGGTCCAGCTCCTGGGCAGGGGTGCCAGAGGGAAGGAATCCAAGTGTGGTCTCCAGCATGGTCAGCTGTGTCCCAGCCCACGGCCTGGGCACATGTGGCTCCAGAGGCTTCTCCCCATCTCCACCCTCCTCAGCATCTAGAGTCTCTGGGCTCTGGATGTGAAGTTTGACAACCCACGGGCCTAAGGTAGCGGAAAAGCATCAGACCCAGAGTCAGCAAGATTGTGTCCCATTCAGCATCTTAAATTTTCTGTGTCCAGGTGTATAAGGAGGGCACAGTCCTCTAGTCACCATGCAGAGTTTGTCATCTGTTCATTCAACAAACATGTCCTTAGGGGCTCTCCAGGCTGGGCATGGGTGTGACTCTGGGGACAGAGCTGTGAACCAGACAGACATGGGGTGTGCAGGCTGGCGGGGAGGAAGGATGAGACACAGCAATGGAGGACACTGGAAGTCAGCCCTGCAGGGGTGAGTGAAGGAAAGATGTAGGGAAATGTCATTGTCAGAGAGACGCTGGAGATGGGCCGCAGGTAGAATCTGTCCCACAACCCCTGCCGCGCTCAGGGACTGTCACCTACCCACATACCTCTGACCCCACACATTCCTTCACCTCCAACTTCCTGTCCATGCCTCCCCCAATCCACAATCCCCAGCTTCATACAGGACCCTCCCCATCCCGCCCCTCCTGGCCCCTTCACCTCCATCCCTGTCATGCCCACCCCCCCACCCCCCCCACAGCTGTGGGTCTTCACTGCTTTTCCCTGAAAATGTCCCTCTGGCCTCAGAGTTCTCCCTTCTCTCTCCAGCTGCTCCCCAACATCTCCACATTCACACCCCCCACGGCCCCTTCCAGGGCTCCCCTTCCGTGGCCTTCTCCTCCAACCACAGCGGATGGGCGGTGCTGACACAAGGCCAAGACACGTGAGGGAGAGCCCTGCGGCCACCCCCTCCCCGGGTTGTGGGCGGCTAATGGGAAGCACATGGCTGGGACGACCACAGGAGCCAGCCAGTCCTCGGGTCCCACGTGCCTGCCACTCCCCTGGACCGCAGCATGGCAGGACCAGGTGACTCCATGGGTGGGAGCCCCACTGTTTACTGCCGGCCGGCCATGCCAGGAGGGCATCGGTGCCCTGCCCAGGGAGTGGCCACCCTTGGAGGTGAAGGGGAGGGAGCCCAGGATGGACACAGTCCTTCCACCCTCCCCAGAGAGGCCAGGAAGCCCCCAGGATGAGTTGTGTCTATATCTGCAGGCTCCATCCTGCTCTGGAAAACAGCTCTCCTCTCAAGTCCAGGAACCGCTTTCCCTCCGTAGCTGAAACTCCTCCAGTAGCCCCTTCCCAGAGGAGGCATCGGAGGGGCCAGGAGCGGTGCTGGCATACAGACTTGCTTCTGAGCCGGGCTGCATCCGAGAGGAAGGAGTGCCCCGCCTTCCTGGGGATGCACTGGGAGCTTTGGACCAGGGGCTGACCAAGGGACCCCCGCCTGAGACGTTGCATCTCTTGAGACACTTCCTGGGCCCCCTGCCTCTGCATCTCCTCACAGGGACCACCAGCCATGACCTCAGCTGTGTCACTCAGGCATTCATCATCCTTCACTGTTGAGCCCATGTGCTGAGCGCCGGACTCCAAGCCAGGTGATGGGGATCTAACAGTGAACATGGTAGCAGGGACCCTCCCTCCTAGAGCTTTCATCCAGAGGCAACAGCAATCATGGAGGAAGGACTCCTTGACTCCCCTCCTCTCCCTCCTGTGAGCGTAGCCCCTTTTCTCTTGCATTCTCTGTGCCCCGAGAGCTCCTGCCTATCATGTGTTTCCTCAACTTTTGTTCTTAGGAAACAAAAGTCTGTAGTCGTGGGCCCAGGCTCCCTGCCTCCAGACATTCAGAGGGTCAGGGATGAAAGCCCTCTTACATTTTTTTTTTAAAAAGCAAAATTAGTGGGTTTGGACTTTAAAAAACAAGAAAACAACTTCTCAAAATGTTCCAGGAGAGGAAAAAAAAAAAAAAAGATGACTTTTCAGATTGTTTTTTATCTCAGAAACATTGCAGAGTTGTTTCCCTCACTTTTGGGTTTAAGACAGATGGGGTAGGGTCAAGACAGATGGGGAACTTGCTACCACGAAGATAAAAGGTATTTTTCCCCAGTTGAGAAGAAAAAAAAGGCAGAAGAGATCCAAAAACACTGTTTGCCTCAGCCACCTCTGTGGTGAGAACATGAAATTTGTTTGACATGTTTTGTGAAGATCCTCACAGTGAAATACTCGGGGGAAATACCCTTGAACTTGTCCTCCATGGCCTGTCCGGGGAATGATATTGCTCACTGGAAAAATGTTTCCCTGGGGAGACCAGAGTGTCCACTTCCTTTGGTTTTGTCCACCATGGGGATTCCAAAATGCTCTGACCTCAGGTTCCTTGTGGTGGCTGTTTTCCACTGCAGGGAATGTAGGAAGCAGAGACCAGAACAGAAAAGGGTGGGTGGGGCAGGGGGGGAAAGGACAGGCCTGTGTACATTGAGACAGACTCCACAGTTATAACTCAGTTCAGCCCACATAGACCAAGAGGCTGTCTATGTACCGGGTACTGAGATCTGCGGAGCCGAGAACTCAGGCCCAACCCACAGGGAGCTCAATTTGAGCACAGTTTTCAAGACTGTGCTAGAATCAACATACACATCCTCAAGTTTGGTTTTCAGCTTCCCAACCTCGTTGGGTACTTTAGACACACAGAGCCCTAAACATCCCAGCCGGAAGCATCTTCACAGCTGCCCCCTCAGTTTACCGTTGAGGAAAACATGGGCCCACAGAGGAAGTGACCTGCCCAAGATCACACACCAAGTCAGTAGTAGAACACAGGCTTGGATTCCAGGTTCCCATTCCCAATTTTCACCCCAGAGAGCTATTTCAATGCTCAGTTGACAAAGGGAAGGACCGTGGCTTGTTAGTCATGTGTCCTTGAACTTAGTACCTCTTTGACCCTCAGTTTCCTCATCATTATGATGAAGATACTAATAGTACTTGCCTCCAAGAGCTATTCTGAGATTTGTGTGAGATCCTCACTCCCAGTGCCTGGAACAGTGCCTGACACATAGTAAGTGCTTAATAAAATACAGCATTTATTAGAATCCTTATCATATGGACAGGACCTATTGCAAGGATCTCTCATCCCTCCACTGTGGTTATTGAGGGCATACTATGGAACAGGACACAGGGCCCATCCCTGACCCCAAGGACGCACAGTCTGGTTGGAAAGACACAAGTAACCAGGAGATGTCAGCACCATGGGTGAGCTCCCCACTGGGGCAACCAAAGTGAGGACAGCGGGAGGACAGATGAGCAGCCGGTTGGAAGTTGCTCAGTCAGAGAAGAAGGGCTTAGCTGGGTGTTCCCTGAAGAACGAGAAGGACTTGAGTAAAGAGGGAGTGGAGAGAATGGTACATACAAGGACCTGGTCCAAAGAGAGAACCTGGTGAATCCAGAGCTTGGGAAGAGCGGAAACAAGGCAGCGCATTCGGTGGGCGTGGGGGTGGGTGAACAGGCCGGATTCCTACAGCGGGGGAAGGGAGACAGAGTCCACCTCGGCCTGACTCCCCTTCCAGACCTTCTACGGCTGCCCGGGCCTGGGGAATCACCTGGATGGTTGGCCTATGTAATTTTGGCCAAGCCCCTTCCCATCACTAGGCCTCAGTTTCCCCATCTGCAAAAAAATCAGGATGAGTAAATAGGATCTCTCAGGACCCCTCCCCAATGTAAGCACTTTCCCTCCTTTGAGAAGCAGGCTGTTCCCTCTAGGCATATGTTCTCCCAGAGTCTGAAAACAGGCCTTTCCTCATCCCTCTTCTCTCTGAATCCTGGGTCAACTCCAGCCTATGTCTTTTTTTTTTTTTTTTTTTTCCCATAATTGAGCCCCCACCTTCACTGCTTCCGGCCTTGTGGAAAGCCTTGACCTTGGGCCAAAGTTCAGGAGGCCTGCCCCAAGCCTGGGCAGGAGCCAAGGTGGGAAAGGAGGGGGCGGAGACTGACTCCCCGAAGAAAAGAGCAGAAAAGGTCAGCAAAGGCTCCCTGGCCCTTGGTCACATTTCTGTAGCCCAACAAATGTAGGCTGAATTAATTGAACTGAATCCAGAGAGTTGATTTAGGCTGAACTGCAGGGATCCGGGTGTCTCCACCGGAGTCGTTCCCAGCTGGAGGCGCCGGGCTGGGTGTTTGCGTGGACAACATCACCATCTAGTGGCCACTTGTGTCCCGAGCCGAGCCAGCCCTCCTGGGAAGCACTTCCACAGGCCTCCCTTCTCTCCCACAGGTGATGGACAGCTCAATGCCCTTGATTGGAGAGCACGTGGAAGAGGACAAACAGCTGATGGCCGACCTCGTTGTCTCCAAAATGAGCCAACTCCTAATACCAGGGAGCACAGTGCCCTCGCCCCTGAGGCCTTGGGTAAGATTCCCGGGAGCTCGGGAGACACTGTAGCCAAGAGAAGTACTGGGCTCTCTGGGAATGGGGAGCCCCTGGATCAAAGGGTATCCCCCTAGAATGGAAGCACTCTGGGGAGAAAGGAATGGGGTGTGGATTGAGGCTTGGCCTGGACAGCTTGCACCCTGCTCCGGACAGCGGAGTTTGGGAGGCTCCGAGGAGACCTTCCTCCGTCCACCATCAGAGGGAGGAAAGCTTTGTCACAGCTGCACTGGTGGGCAGAGATTATGAACATAAGCCAGTTGTCCCTCTGTGCCCTCCTTCCTGGGCCTGCGCAGGGAGCGGCGGGGCGCATGTGGGTGTATGTGTGCGTGCACGCACGGGTGTGTATACACACATGCCCTTTGTGTGTTCCCAGGGCCCCACTCAATAGAGACCATTGTGCCTTCTGTTTCTCCACGCCCCAACCTCAACAAGCTCCCACATAGCTGCTCCCTTCCAGGGTTCTCACCGCGGATTACCAGCTCATTCTCCAAAGAATTTGCTAGCTCTCAGCTTTCTGGAAAAGCAAATCTCAAAACCTGTCCCCCGCCTTCTCCCACAAAAACAAATCCATGGTAATAGCTGTGGGAAGGATGGTTCTAGTGGAGGGGGTTGCTGGCTGAGAAGGGGCATGGGGCAGCCATCCCCCCTGGAAGGTTCTGTCCTGACTTGGGTGGTAGTTACACGGATGTATACACATGTAAAAATCCACTATGCCGTGCACTTAAGAATCATGCACTTTATGTAAGTTTTACTCCAATAATAAAAAGATCTTTATAAGTCATGCCCTCCCACCGGGAAGCAAACGGCTGGGGCAATCCCAACAGGCCTCTTTTCTCTCCTGCTCCAGGCTCCACAGACGAAACCAGCAAAATCGCCCGGGCCAGCCCAGCTGGGACCTCCCCTCGGACAGCCCCAGACACGCCCACCCACACAAGGTAAGCCCCACGACCAGTCAGCAAGAGAAATCATATAGTGAGGATGTCAAAATGCACGGAGGGATCCCTGTGTGGTTTCCAGAAGGCACTCCAGAAAAATCCATCCTAACAGTTTATACACAGAGTATGTGCACTCACTCTGTGCAGAATGAGTGAGAATGTGAGGTCACCCTGATGAGTCGGAATGAAGGAAGGGAAGACAGGTGAAGTCACTGAGTGCCTCATAGGTGCCAGCACCCTGCAAGGGACTTTCCCCTCTACTTTCCTTTTTTTTTTTTTTTTTGTCTCCTAATAAGTCCCCCGTGAAAAATGTCAGTATTTCTGTTTTACAGAGGAGGACATTGAGGCTTTGCCTAAGGAAGCACAAGAAAATGCAGGTTTACAAATCTGGCCTTTCAGGTCTTTGAGCAACTGTCTGTTTCTTTTTTTATTTTTTTTTTTAATGTTTATTTACTTTTTGAGAGAAAGACAGAGAGCACAAGCGGGAGAGAGGCAGACACAGAATCCCAAGCAGGCTCCAGGCTCTAAGCTGTCAGCACAGAGCCTGATGCAGGACTCAAACCCACGAACCCTGAGATCATGACCTGAGCTGAAGTCAGACACTCAACCAACTGAGCCACCCAGGCGCCCCGCAAGTGTCTGTTTCTTTGTCACTAGTGGTGCCTGGTTATAGATTTATGAGCCAACCAGCCAGAGTGAGAAAGAAAAACAGAATATTATATATAATTTTGTCAATTGAAATTATTCTTCCTCAAAAAATATTCCAGCATTACTGTCTAAATGCCGCCATTTATTAGAGAATGGATAAACTATTGATGAGTTTATGAGAGGAAGCTGGCAATAACTAACTTTCTCACGGAATGTCACGGTCTGCGCGATCTCACATGCAGGGCCTGGAGGGAAGACCCACCCGCCGCCTCTCTTGCAGTCAGAACCTTCCAGACGACAGACACGTTCACTGCTCTAGCTAGCGCCAGCTGGGAGCTCCGGGGCGGCTCTACCTCAAGAAGCCCGCCAGGCAGCTTCACGGCAATCTTTTTAAGGATCTGCTGAGAACCTGTCAGAAGAAAAAGCTTCACTCTCACATTTTGTAGCCTTTCCAGTTGCCTTTATCAAAGTAACGTAGTCATTGTTTCTTGGAAAAATCGGCCTTGGGCGTTAAATGGCTTCCTCTTCCACAGTCTTAAAGCACCCCATCCATCTTCCCTATGTCTGCTTCTCTCCTCAGAAAAGCAGAAAGTATTTAAGAAAAGGGAAATTGTATAACTACGTGGACATAGGGATTCTTCTCTAAGCAGATAAATGTGTTTTTGTTTTTAATATTTATTTTTGAGACAGAGTGCGATCAGGGGAGGGGTAGAGAGAGAGAGGGAGACACCGAATCAGAAGCAGGCTCCAGGCTCTGAGCTGTCAGCACAGAGCCCAACTCGGGGCTCGAACTCACAAACTGCAAGATCATAACCTGATCAGAAGTCAGACACTTAACCGACTGAGCCACCCAGGCGCCCCAACAAGTGTGTTTTTGAACCCACCTGTATGTCTCAGTACCTTTACGGTCTTAGGCAAGTTCCATGCTCTCTCTGAGCCTTGGTTTCCACACTGATATAACAGCTCCTCTGTTTAGTGACGGGCTCCAAGACATAATGTAGGTGAGGCAAGTAGCAAGGTGTCCGACACAAGGGAATGCTTTGATGCTTAGTAGGTACTAGTTCTTACTGCTAATAGTTTACTATCAATAACTATTTATGTAACGTTTACTTTAAAAACTTACTGTCAATAACACGTCTTATTAACAATTAAAATATACACGCCGTTCTTAATGATCTTTACATTTAACAGTCCTTAAAAATAAAGCAGCCCCAGTGCCCTCCTGCCGGGCGATAATTCTGTCATTATAAGTGTTCAAAAATGATTTATTCATCCCCCTGCAAGGCTCCTGGCTGGGTCTCTGCTCTGCCCTCTCCTTTCCCGCTCTGCCCCAGGACTTACTTCTTAAAACACATTTGAACAGAGCACTTTTAAAACAGAGAGCTACTGTATTCTGGTTTCCTCTCGGGCCCAGAGTACAGACATGCTTGATAAAGAGATATTATTTTAAGGGACATGAGGCTAAACACACTTTTAGCGAGTTGAAAAACATTCCGTATAAAGCCAATTAAGATCATTAAAGCACACGCTCATTGAATTAACATTCGGATTAAAAATAACAAGGCTAATTAATTAACTTGTTTTTGAACTCACCATAAAAAGTGAACTTTTCTTTTAGTGAACCTCATAATTATTTTAGCACCAAACCTGTGCTTCAGCAAATACTTTCTCTGTATAAGTCAATGGTTTTCTATGTGTGCTGAAATGAAAAATACAGAAGTGTTTGCTTTGCCAAGAAGTTGAGAGAAATTAGCAGTGTCTCTTGAGGAATCCCAGGTGCATAATAGGAACTCAACAAAGAGTTAATAAATGAATGAATGAGGATCCAGATTTTCCAAAATAGTGTTGGCCTCAGGGTAGAAGACAGGACGGGGAGAATTAAGATAAAAGTAGAAAACAGATGTTTTCTTTGACCTGATAAAAGTGGGTCTTTTCTTCTTTATGTTTATTTATTTTTGAAAAACAGAGAGAGAGAGAGTCATAGAATCTGAAGCAGGCTCCAGGCTCTGAGCTGTCAGCACAGAGCCCAATGCAGGGCTCGAACTTACAGACTGTGAGATCATGACCTGAGCCACAGTCGGACACCTAACCGACGGAGCCACCCAGGCGCTCCTGACCTAAAGTGGGTTTCAAACATAAAAGAGTAAGCCAGCATTGAGAAAACAAACTGAGGGCTGAGGGGGGTGAGGAAGAGGGGAAGGGGGTGATGGGCATGGGGGAGGGCACTTGTTGGGATGAGCACTGGGTGTTATATGGAAACCAACTTGACAGTAAACTATTTAAGAAAAAAAAAAAGACATCAGGAGCTTTTGCACAAATATTTCCATTCCCAGGTTCTCTTGATAGAGCAGCAGCTCTAGAAACAAGGTGTCTGTGTTCCTCCTCAGCAACTGTCCGCTGACCTGTGGTCACTGCGGTCCCCTTGAACGACAGGACTCCGCAATTCACCTCTAGCCCTCCTCCTCCCTATTATCTCTTTCACAGGGATGTAGCGTCAAGTGCAATTTTCTTTAGCTTGCACCTCTTTAGAGAAAGAGTTCTCTGAACTGTGTTTTTATCCCAAGGAAAAATTTTGAAGTCATATGCTTTTTTGGACACTTCCTTGCTTCATTTATTTATGTACCTGCCTGGCCCTATAGGTGTTTGAGATCAGTGGGTTCTCCAATCCACTGGGACATACAGTGACAAAAGCTGCGAATGGCAAATCAAGGCCATGTGCAATCAGTTGCTAAATCGATACTTCAATCCAATGTAGAAAGTGCTGCATCCGCCTTACAAGAATGTTCACTGGGGAGGGATATTGGTGGCTGGTCCGAGGGCCTCATTTTACAAGCAGGGGCCCAGAAACCCAGCGAAAATTGACTTACTCATGGCCACATAGCAAGTTAACGCAAGACGGGAGTTAAGAACTCAGGCTCTGGGAGCCAGTATGGCCACCAGACATGCAGGCACCTCTGCAATGTGCCAGCTGCAATGACGTCTGAGGGCAGAGGTCAGCAGAAGTCAAGTCCCACCTCCTCCTGCACCCGGCTCAGAGCTGTCCTCCCCTGGAGGAAAGCACCTTTTCTTCATTTGCACAAACATGTGAAGACTCAGGGCAGCCCTGCCTGGCACAGCTTTGTGATTTGTGTTTGAGGTTTTGTTTGTTTGTTAGTTTGTTTAAGGAAAAAAGAGAAAACAAAACAGAGCTTTTGAGTCATTGAGATAGAGGTTTGAATCTTGGCTCGTCCCCTTATTAGAAGTAACACCTTGAGCAAGGCGCAGTATATCTGGGACTCGGCTTCTCTCTAAAAATGGGGATGATGATAAGTCCCAACCCAAGGCTGGGACTCAGGTGTGCTCAGTAGGACTTATAGACGTCAGCATTAGGAAAGGGCCACAGACATGGCCTCCAGCCCCTCTGAACTCGCAGTCTCCTAACCTGTCTACAGTGACCTCAACAGAGCACAGCAAGGAGAGCCGTGGGGCACCCACTCTCCTCAGAGCAGGTCCCAGTCCGTTTTGGCAAAATACAATTCACGGTCAGCAACCCTGACACTCAGGCTTCGCAGGTGAGAAGAGAGCGCCTTGCTTGCCTGGGGCCTTGGAATCCCTTCGAAGTCATTTCTGGGTGGCCAAGATGTCCCCAAGCCTGTGATGCCCCTTTGCTTGTAGGTGAAATTCTACATGCCCTGTGCAGTGAGAGGGAGAAGCCAAGCGCCTGTGAGCTCTTTGCAGCTACTCCTTTCTTGCTAGGAGAACTTGAGGAGGCTCAGTTCCCAGCTGTATGTGACGTGAAGGATGGTGCCTTCCCTACCAGCCTCTCTCTAGATCAAATGACATGTTGCCTTTGAAAGTTCTTAGAAAAGTTTAAAGTACTGTCACAAAGGAAGGGGTAATCCATTGTTTCCAGAGTAATGCATCTTCAGTGAGGAAAACTTCTGTGAACAATAGAAAGAGAATTAACCCCACCACTTTTGCAATCATTCAGCAGTGACTCATTACTCAAAGCATGGTGAGCAAAAGCATCACCTGGGAACCTGCTAGAAATGCAGAACCCCGGACCCCGCCTGTAGCAGTCTGCTTGGGTCGCCATAACAAAATGCCACAGACTGAGTGGCTTCAACAAAAGTCATTTGCCTTCTCGCAGTTCTGGAGGCGAGAGGCCCAAGATCAAGGTGCCGGCAGGGTCGAAAGTTCTCTGCATGGCTTGCAGACAGCGCCTTCTTACTGTCTTCACATGGCCTTTCCTCTGTGTGGCCCTGGGTCTCTGTCTCTTCTTCTAAGGACACCGGTCCTATTAGATGACGGCCCCACCCTTATGACCTCATTTAACAATAATTTGTTCCCTTAGCACCCCGTCTCCAAATACTGTCACACTGAGGATGAGGACTTCAAAACATGAACTGAGGGGTGTGGGGGGGCACGATGCAGTCCATGACTTCCTGGACCTGCTGTGTCCTAGTCTTTATTTTGACAAGATCCCCAGTGATACATGTGCACATTACAGACACACTGGTTTGAGTAGACACAACTTTCTAGTCCTTTTTTAATTAATTTTTTAACATTTTTATTCATTTTTGAGAGACAGAGAGCTAGCAGGTGATAGGCAGAGAGAGAGGGAGACACAGAATCTGAAGCAAGCTCCAGGCTCTGAGCTGAGAGCAGAGAGGCTGATTCAGAGGTCAAACGCATGAACCATGAGGTCATGAGCTGAGCCAAAGTCAGATGCTTAACCAACTGAGCCACCCAAGTGCCCCTCCAGTCTTTATTTTTTACATAGCTGTATATATATGTGCTAAAATGGAATAAAACCATATGTTCTGTTTTATAAACTTCCTTTTGTTTCCCAGTATGTATTTAGCATATATTATCAACAATATTCTATATCATTTAATGTATTCTGCCACATCATATATGATGGCCACAGCATATTCCATTACACAGATGTATCTTAATACTCCTGATCAGTTCTCCGATTGGGCATTTATACTGTTCTCAGCTTTTCACTGTTACAAAAAACACTGCAGTGAACATCCTTGAAGCAATATTTGTGCACAGCTATATTTATCTTAAGAAAAACTTGAATGTAATAATTTTTCTCCCTGTAGGGGGTCCTCGCCAAACTCAGTCTCCTCAGCCCCCGCGATCCGGGAGCCCCTCCCAACAGAGGCTCTCCCCGCAAGGCCAGCAGCCCCTCAGCCCCCCATCGGGGTCTCCACAGCAGCAGAGATCACCAGGCTCACCACAGCTGGCCCGGGCATCCAGCGGGAGTTCTCCAAACCAGGCAGCCAAGCCAGGCGCCCCCCTCGCCTCACAGCCCCGGCCCCCCGTTCAAGGCCGCAGTGCCTCCCAACAGGGGGAAGAGTCCAAGAAGCCAGCACCACCCCACCCTCATCTCAAGTAGGTGCTCTGGGATTGGGCAGGGTGTGGGGGGATGGTAGTGTGGGCAGAGCTGGGCCGACTCAGGTGCAGTGACTGGGAGACAAAGGAAGACCCACTGAGGCCTCACCCAGATTTTCAATGGGTCGGAGGCCTGGAGGATGGAACCTGGATGGCAGGTGGGGTCCAGAAGGTCAGAGTACTGCTTGGCTCCCACCATGACCCTCCAGATACGTACACATCAGTTATCCCTTGCTGCGTAACAAACTCCCCCGAAACCGCCGCTTAAGAAAATGACCATTTTCTTTGTTCATAATTTTTTGGTCCAGCAATTTATTCTGAGTCTGGCTCAGCTGGGGGATTCTTCTGCTGGTCTCTCCTGTAGAGTTGCCAGGTAAAATACTGGAGCCACAGTGAGATTTGCATTTCCGATAAGCGATGAATTATTTTGAGTGTAAGTATACCCTCAAACATAGCATGGGATATACTTACACTGAAAAAAGGACTTGTTTTTCATTTGAAATTCAGATTTAAGTGGGCATGTTGTATTTTTATTTCCTAAAACCTGCAACGCTACCCTCCTGGGATCGTTCCTGTGGCTGTGGTTATCTGGCATCTTAACTGGGGCTGGATGGTCCGAGACGGCCTTCCTTACCACACAGCTGCTGTCAGCGGGGCCTCTCTCTCCATGGGCCACACACTCCCGCAGGCTGGGCCCAGCTTCCTCGCAGGGTAGAATCCCATCCCAGAAGAGCAAAAGTAGAAGCTTCAAGGCCTCTGGAGGCCCAGCCTTGAAGCCACACAATGTCATTTCATCCCGTCACGTGCTTTTGACCAAAGCAACCTACATGGCCACATAGACTCTTGGTAAGAGGACCTCCAAAGCACACGGCAAAAGGCTCAACCCCAGGAGGAACTTCTGCAGTCACGTCATGTCTGTAAACGACACATCACGACACACACACCCGCCCCCTTCCCTCTGAAGCCCGCCTCTCGCTTTGAGGTCCGGGAGTCCCAGGTGTGTTCTTGAGAAAGCCCCTCCCCTCCTTCAGCGCCAGGCACCAATGTGCATAAGCAAAACCTCACTCCTAGCATCCGCTGTCCACTTACCACCTGCCAAGCGCTTCACCCACTTGGGTTTGTTTTTTTTTTTAAATTCTCACAAGCTTAGTAGTAACGATTATTATCCACATTTTACAAACGAGGAGGAGATGAATTGCTTGCCGAAGCTCCACTGTTGGTGAGTGGAAGAGCTAGAATTGAACACAGGGCACCCAGCCCACGGATCGGGCTAGCTGTGATATGTCTGAAGGGGTGATGCATTCCCACGGCTCACAGACCTAAACGATATCAACAGTACACACTGAGAATCCTTCCTCCCACCTCATTCCCACCAGTGCTTTCCTGCCCCCTGCAGGTCACCCAGAGGTGACCACGCTTGTTAGTTCCTTGTGTATTCCTCCAGTGTTTCCTCTCGCAGGGACAAAAATGTAGGTTGCTTCCCTCCCCCACCCCCACCCCCCGTTTTACAAACAGCAGTGCTCACTATCCACACCATTCTCCTTGCTTTTTACATTTACATTTAACAGTAAACCCTAAAGTCCCTCCACTCCATTCATTGACATTTTCCCCTTTTCACAGCTGTATCCTGTACCACTGTCTAGTTGTGCTGTAATCTAATCTACCACAGACAGAAATCTGGTTCTCACACTTACAGAGTAGCCCACAGTGAACCACCCTGAACACACACGGTTTCTCGTGTGGACAGGCTCAGCCGTCGAGGAAATACCAGCGATGCTACTGTAGGATCAAAGGATGAATGTGTTTTGAATTAGATGCATATTAGCAAGTGTCCCTCCAGGCAATATGGCATCGTGGTTGACAGCACAGACTCAGAGTCAGACAGCCTGGGTTCAAATCCCAGCTCTACCACTTAAAAGCTGCATGACCTCAAAAAGCATTACTCAACCTCTCTGTGCTTCTACCTCCTCACACGCAAACTGAGGACAAAAGTACTTACCCCATAGAGCTATTATGATTGAGTTTACACATAGCTGGTGCTTAAAAATCTACTGGCCATTTATAAATGTATCTGAGATAAACTCTCACCACGTAAAAGGACGCACCCCAGCTAATCACAGGACAGGCAAGGGCTTTGGGGTTTAAGCCATGTTTGGACACTGACCCTATCATAATCCAGCTAGAAACAATGAAGTCTCCTGATTTATTGTTTCAAAGTATTATTTGGTTCCCATGTAGAATAAGAAAGGGGCACAAGATAGTCCCCATTTGGGAGAGGATTTTGGTTTCTTTATGGTAATGGCAAGACCACGTGTGAATGTCTTAAACTTGGGCTCTATGTATATCACCTCACCCTGTGTCTGTCACCCCCACTACTAGAGCCTGAGCCTCCTGAGCTCCAGGCCCGAATCACAGCCATCTCCACAGCCCTGTCACCTAGCACTAGGCTGGCACAGAGGTTCAAACGGTGGACACCCTGAGAATCCCAAAGCAGGCCCAGCAAACTCTTCAGGGAAAAGGCAGGAAGTGAAGCCGAGTGACAGAAGATGACCGGCCTGAGGGCGGGCTAGACCGGCCCTCCCTTTTAACGGAGGAGGTGAAGGAGGCCCCGAGCAATACTCCACTTGCTGAGGCCAGAAGGGTCAGATGGCAGAGTGGGGTCCAGAACACTGACCTCCAGTTTCCTGAACTTGTACCAGAAAGCCCAGGAGGCGCAGCCACCACCTGATGCTGATACCGCACTTCACAGTTGGCCCCACGTGTTGGTGCACGTAAGCAGGAGCCTGGCCAGGCAGCAGTCTGGTAACACCTGCCGTCCAGGCAGCCCAGCTTGCTGGAATGAATGTGATCCTTGGGCGCGCCCCTGTTACTCGCTGTGAGCACCAATTTCTGCCCCTAAAATTGGAGGATACCGATAACCACCTTGCAGGTTATAGAATGTGTGTGATGCACTCAGCATCAGACAAGCGTTGGGATGCCCGGTTTCCAGTCAGGAACCCGTCGTTGTGATGACTGGGCTCCCCCAGCCTGGCTTCCGGGCAGGCCCTGTGACTCGCTTCCCAGGCTTGTCGCCCCCAACCCTCTTTGCCTTTCTCTTTCAGCAAATCCCAGTCCCTGACTACCAGCCTCAGCACATCTGACACCTCCCAGCGCGGGACCCCAAGTGAAGACGAAGCCAAGGCCGAAACCATCCGCAACCTGAGGAAGTCCTTCGCCAGCCTGTTCTCTGACTAACCTTGTCTGCGCTACGTCAGGGGAGGGCTCTGTTATACTCTCCCTTTTCCTGCCTCTCCTCCTTCTCAGCCTTGGTTCCCGATGGGAGCAGAATGGAGGGCCTGAGAATATACTCTCTAAATGCCTTTGGTCCAGGAACTGAGTATCTGTATGTGTCCCCACTTCCCTTTACCATGACATTCCAGCATCATCGTCCAAATGAGTGGTGGGCCTTTGAGAGCCTCCGGGTTCCTCAAATCAGGCCCTAAAGGCATCACATCACCCTGCCCACCCAGATGCTTGCTCCCCTGCCTCAGATAACCAAGTGAAATGTCTGTGTGTGGCTAGTTTTCACATTTCTTGTTAGTGTTTTGCTCGCCTTCCGGTGAAGGCCCCCTCCAGGCCTTGCCTCACCTCCATCAAATGCAGACGCTATAGTCGGACCTCAGCAACACAGGAGGCAATAATCTTTTGACCATGTTTTGCAAACAAAAGGAGAAAAACCCAGCCAGGGGAACATATTACCTACCCACGCTAGCGCCATCCAGGCTCGAGAGATCACCCCTCAGACCAGAATGGCAAAAGTCCATCACATGTGGCCCCCAGTGGGATCATGAGAACCGGGGAAGGAAATCAGATCGTGTGTGATAAGCGGGGCCTTTCAGAAGACAACAGAGAGGACGTCTTGAAGGACTGCTCACCCCCAGATTGGACAGCCAAGAGCAGACCGCAGGTTCTTCTACGAATCATCCCTAGTTCCCAGAGGAAGAAGATGCCCTCCACTTCCCAAGGAAGGAGTCAGGTCATGGTTCCTCCACCCATTCTGCGTTACACCACCAAGGACTCTCTGAATTCACCCCAAAATGCAGTTCCCTCCTCGAGGGTATACGAGGAACCAGAGAGAATCAGGAGCTCAATAACACGGGCTGAGAAAGCACAGTGGCGGTAACTTCCAGGTTGGCATTTCACCATTACAGCAAGCCTTTGGTAGGTTACTCAGTTATGAAAGGGTCCTGTGGTCAAATATGTTTGGTAAATACTTTGTACTTCTTGTTTTGAGATGGGCAGTACACATTACATGTCAGAGGCTCTCAGAATTCCTGCAAGATTGAACCTTGCTTCACCCAGGCTTATTTGACGGAACAAGTTTGCTGCGGAGCTGGGAAATGCCCTGGCTCCCTTTCCAAAGCTCTTTCCCTACATCAGACTGCTTCCCATGAGCAGATGGGGTGCAGGGCTACCCCCAAATCACCACGCACCCGGTGCTAGAAACATTGTATATGCCAGAACCAGCCTCCTGGCCCCCAAAAGAGCCCAGGACATTAGAACATAGCCACCACATGCTCCCCTTACAGCCTACATTGCAACTGGAGGCACGTCTTCCCCCTCCCTGGTCACAGAGAAGGAGAGAGGGAGGTAACAATGAAAGTGTCCTTGGCCTGGAGCTACATTCTGAATAAAGGAGCAGAGACAAATTATAGGGCAAGGTGTGACATCGTGGAGGCATGTTTGGGGAGATCAGGAGCACAAAAAACACCTAAGGCAGCCATTGCTCTTCTACATTGGGGATCACGATTGGAAAAAGTCAAGGTCACCTGATTCTCACTTAGTAATAAAACACAACCCGAAACACACAACAGAGTGGCCATAGGCTGCACAAAGTTTCTCAAAGTGTGGGCACAACTAGCTTTAATTGAGAGCAAAGGAGGCAGAATTCTGGTCATGAGGCCTAGACCCGTGTCTTTGTCAGTCTTCCCAAGTGTTGTGCATGCACGCTGAAGTTAGACCGGCAGCCCTGCGCTGAGCTGGGTGGGAAGGCCCCTGCAGGAGAACAGTACTGGTGCGGGTGCTTCACAGCCGGGGAACCCACTCCTTCGCTGAGCAAAACTAGTGGCTCCATCAACAGTGACTGTGTGGCTTACATTTTCCCACTTTTCTGTCCTTTGACTGTAAAAACATCTCAACATTTAAGCTATAACTCCCAGACACCCCAACTACAGCGGCATAAATTCTTTTTCATGCCAGGCATCCTGATTTTTATAACCATGTACATACGGGATCTGCGACATAACACTATTTTATAACTGGCACATTTGAGTCAGTTTCCCCACTGGTCTGAGTATGAATGTAGAGACCAGGAACGGGCTTGCAGAGACCCCCAAAATGGACTGTTTCCTCACATAGACCAGCACACGTCCTTTCCAAACACTTAACCTTTAATAGCTGTGACGCTTTTCAATGGGAAAGGGCAAAAAGAAGGGAGGAAAGGAGTCACTCTGTAGAGATTTTGACAGGTGGTTTGGTTTTTGCTTCGTTTCACAACTTCGACCCAAAGAAACACTGGCATCTTCCAGGCTGACTTGGTGAAGCTGAAACACGGGTGCTAAGGGTGTAGCACCATGAGTGGGGATTTAAGGGTGCAGCCTCAGGGGACACTGCCACCAGCCAGAGAAAATACCTCGGCCCAGGTCTTCCTCCTCCCTCCACGGTCAGACAGAGCTGTAGTTTAATTAGGTGTAAAGTCAGCCTCCCAGGGACACTGAACATGCATATCCTTGCCCTTCCATTACCTGTTGTCTCCCCATCATTACACACTCCCTCCTAACGTTCAGTCCCTGCTGGTGGGGCAGGAAGGGCCTCCAGTCACACAGTAACAAATACAGTAGCACAGCCCGGGAGCCTGAACACCAGCTGCCTTCTGATGTTTTCATCAGAGCCGGCGTGGGTACCTCGTGAATTTGCTGCATGAGTCAAGCTCAGGGCACGTTCCTCGGCACACATGTGTTCAGGACATGTTTTAGGTTGGCCTTCCTAGAAAACTAGGAAACTAATGAAATGTACACAAAGTGATCCGGATGGAGAAAAGGGCTGTGTGTATAAGTATCAGCATGAGGAAGTCACTTGCCCAGGAACAGAATTGAACCCACCTATTAGAATGAGATAAACTGAAGAAAATCTATGGCGGTTTTTTTTTTTTTTTAGCCTCAGAAAGAGGTCTCAGATTCTAAACTGAGTGTGAAAAGGAATGGGAGCGAGCAGAATCGGGGACCATGAGGCATCCCTCATGATACACATGGCCACGGAGGAGAGGTGGCCTCAGGGCCACCACGGCTGGGAGCCCAAGAGGCTGTAGCATGCAGACCAGGGCGATGCCAAGGCTCGTACAGCAAAGACCCAGGACCAAGGAGCCCCATCCAGACACGGCACGCAGCACACACCAGAGCTTTACAAGCAGCCCTGTCCCGCAGATATGCCACATCCTTCTGGAACCCCACCCCTCCCAGCTCTGGGGAACAGACAGCCTGTGTGTTATTCGGCTGCATAAAGCAGGTCAGTGCCTCGTTCTGCTTTCAGTGTTTAGCGCCAGTGAAAGGTCAGTCAGAGTTCAGGCCAGTTAAGGCAGCCTGGCAGATCCAAGCAGTGGCTGAATTACATGGAGGAAGAGCTCAGGGCCTAAGAGCACTTTTCTCGTATCACATGTTTTTCTTTATCCTGGAGAGCACGCTGGCTAGTTACTAACTGTACTGGCAGGTGTCAAATGCTATCCCCAACTCCCACGCAGTCACTGATGAAATTCAGACTTTTGAGTCTTCTATTTAGACTCTGAGAGAAGGCAGCCACTTGGGGTTTGGTTGGAGACGAATTGGAAGTTTGGGCAACAAGCGAGTCAGATCGGTCCATTAACCAAACACAGTGATAAAGGGCACAGAGGCTCCCTTGTGTTTCCACAGACAACATACGTGGCCCAACGAGATGAGACTGGGACTCTTCAATGCTGGGTTCAGAGCTCTCTCTCTCTCTCTCTTTCTCGACTGGCCTCAGCCAAGAGGAAGATGACCAATCAAAACTGAAATGTTCCTTCTACAGTTGCGTGTGTGAGAATCCTTTGAAATCCCTTTTGTTTTCCATCATCGGTGTTCTGATTGGTCCTCCCGCCTGTAATTTCCATTTCCAAACTCCCATAGTTGAAGTATCTTGTCTACGGTCTTTCATGGAGTCCAGGGCAGAAGCAAGTTGGCTCTTGGCAGCTACTGCCCAGGGAAGGAGAAAAGCAAGCCTTGGTGCCAGCCCCCGGCACAGGGAGCAGAGGAGTGGTCAACTCCATCGGAATGAGAATTACAGAGATACAGGGCTAAGCAGTGATGGCAGGAACTGGAGCACCATGCCAGAGTGAGAGGGGACAGAATTCAACTGCTTTTACATGAGGAATCCCCAAACCTGACATCGGAAGGAGGATACTTCCCATGATTTGATGTCCAGCCTTGTCAAACCATAGTTTTCATTTATAAAGAGAAGGGGGACAGAAAGGGCAAGCTCCCGTTAATGAAAATAACTAAAGGGGAAGATACGGGGCCACAGAAGGCCGTTGAGGCCACAAGCCAATGGAGAACGGCATCTTAGCAAAACGCTAACCGCGGCGCTCTGAACGAGCTTGCTTCCACCACTATATTCTCAGTGATGGTCAGAGAGTCACGCAGTGGAGGTGCTGCTGCCAAAGCGTGATTTCATGCTCATGACACACCAGCAATATATGAAGTTCCACAGTCTCAGCCTAATGAAGAGAACGTAGGGTTTTACAAGCTGCTAACTATAAATGTAGCTATCCAAGAGGGACAGCTTTGAGGCTACTTTAAGAATTTAGAACCAACTACTGGAGGATTTAGGTGTATGGCACATACTCTCAATTAAGAGCTGTGTCACACTGGCCAGGAAGTCCCAGCTGAGGTGTCGGGAAGGAGCACCTGCGTCCATGGGACACCAGCACTGTTCCCGGACCTCTCAAGGACCGTTCAAAAAGGGTATTTTGCAAACTTATTGTTTTATAGGATTTGGTGCTTCTGGTCATCACTACATCCTCTCGCTGCACACACACCACACAGTGTAAACCTAACACCGCAGATGGCCACAGAGGGGTGCGGAGGGAGAGAAGGGTATACTTGGGCCCACCGAAGCTTCGAGTGATTCTTTCAGCCCAGACCCAGTTAAAGCCACACAGCATCTAGTGGACACTGTTTAAAACACTGTCCTGTAGCTCAGATATTACAAAACACCACAGAAAGAACTATCAAAGCCCCAATCCTTTGCCTATACACATTATGCTACTAAAGGTGACATGGCCTCTAGAAAATCCTAGTACTGACTGAATTTTCTTCACTGTGATGGAAATAAAGACTATATGTGTAGCAAAAAAATATTTTCAGGACTATGTAGGACTCAAAATATTCTTGCAGCATATAACATTCCAAGCCATTTCCTTATATGCAAAACAGATTTTTTAAAAAGGGGGAAGACGTCGGCAATATTCCTAGATACTGTCTGCAGATACTAATAGTGTTTTATTCCTGGGTTGTGATTCAGATTTTTATTTGTCATGACAGCATGTTTCTATATTGTATGATAAGATATTTGTGTTTGGCCTTTTTCTTGTATGAAGAATAAATCTTGAGTTTTGTGTATTTTAAATCTTAAAAGCAAAATGCTCTTCCAATAGTAAGAGGCTACCTTTGAAGAACAAGTACTTAACCAGCGCTCAAAGCAGTGAAACTTTGTTGAAAGAGGTCATCTACTTAGATTACAAATTAGGTACCAAGTGTTGCAAACACAGGAAAAAAATCATAACTCCACTCCAGAAGCAGCCAGAAACAAGAGTCCCTATAACCCCAAGGTTATCCAAAATGCTGCTTCAGAGCCCAGAAGAATCACCACAGAGCCTGGGAAAGTGCTGCAGAGAGAGGAGGTGGGTTGAGCAGGTGGGTGTCTATGCACCCACCCCTAGCTTGCCTTCTCTTCTTATAAATCAGGCTTCTGCAAACACTTTTGTATGAAGAAAGGGTGCAACTAAAAAATACTTTAATAAACAAAAAACGGCAACAATCCGATGACCCTGAAGAGGTTCTCTGATCATTCTGAGACCAAGTAATGTTGTGAAGCTGTTCTGAATATTTTGTTCCATTATCTTTCTGTAATAAAAGTCAAGACTGCCATGTAATTTATACTAATTTTTTTTAATCTGGTGCAGAACATTATCAGTGAACAACCTTCATCCTAGAGGGGAATTCAGAGGGGGGAGGTCAGTAGCCAGCTATTTCCAAGGCCAACCTGGTCATACAGGGAACTCTGGGCCCTATCACCCCTGGAGCTTTAAACAGATATACCGAAAGTCCGCTGTGAGTGCGTTCCTCACCATCGCAATCAGAACACACTAGAGATCAGCACCCCCAACAAGATGACATCTGCAGTTTTAAAAAACAAAAACCAAACAAGCTCCAGAAGTGAGATGAGAAATCAATCACATGAAGGGCGGCCGGCTGTCGGTGGGCCAGCCCCTACTGGGTCTTAAGGGAAATCTGTCACCGGGGCCACCTCGCCCTGGCAAGATGGGGTTAGGTCCTGGCAGCGGGCCAATGGGATCAAAACGTGGTCTGAGTGGAGGGAACTGGCTGGGTGTCTCCCCAGGCCCAGGGATGAGTGAGTTGATCGGGTCCCCAACATAGGGAAGGATTATTCTTTCATCATATTCACCACCAATAATTCCCGGAGGAAGCAGCGAGCTGGGAAAAGGCCTGGGGTGCAAGGGGTTGGGGTAGAATGGGATGGGGTGGGGCGACGAGGGGATGAACATCACATGCCGCCCTCTCTGAGCTTCTTTTCTTTGTTTGTACCTCTTTCTGTACAGCTGTAGAAACACAAGAACGAGATATGGTAAGTGATGTGGATGTTTCCCCAAAGTTCCAATTTGCTTCCACTGCTCTACCTATACTTCCTCTTCTCACACTCTGGAGCAGGCAAAGAAGTCAGTGCACACAACAGAACTTTTACCAGTTTCCATCTGCACGACTATGGCAGCAGCTCTGAACACAATGCCGAGTGGCCTGTACTCTCTAACCACACTGCAACTGGGCAACTGGCCAATTCAGAGAAACACTCGATCCAAAGGAAGGATAACTGAGTGACATGTACTTTCAAGGCTGCAATCGAGAGCTCTCGGGCTAATATGCAATCTTAGGTCAGCCTTTCTTGAAAGTGGAAAATTTAAATATTTGTTGAGAAAATTAGGCCACATAATATAAAGTTAAGTACTGGGGGGAAGGGGAGCAGCATTTAAATCTACTTTTTCACCTGAATCATGTTCCTAAAGGATCTCAATTTAAAGAGCAACAAAAAATAGAAGCCAATTTCAGACGATAAAATATCTTCCTAAGGGAAAGTGCTGTGCACCTTGGACACATTTGAGGACCCTTCTCTAGTCCACCCCGTTTCTCAGTCTTTCAGAGCAGGCGTCTGTGCATAAAACAAGCACGCACTGTCCTCACTGGCTGGACAGCCGATGACTACTCTAGCACAAAAACTTAGCCTAAACAGTTTTTTGCAACAGAGGACGAGAGAATGTTTTGTATTAAGACAAAAAACAATCACTGTGTTAAGACTTCTTTTCCTGTGTCATTACACAAGAAAACAAGGACTGCGTCTAAGATAAAAGTTAAAAATATTTTCACTTATGGATAATTAGCACTATATTTAGTAAGGACAGATTTCGTTACACCCTAACAAAAGTGATACTATGGCCTTAGCTGCTTCTGTGCTTTTATTAACATTCACCTCGATATTTAAAAATACCTACGTCTTTCCAATCTGTGTCTCGAACTCTAACAGTACCATCTACAAAGAAAAAACAAAAAATAAGAATTTAAAACGCTTCATTCACCCGGCATTAAAAAGCAATCTTGCCTCTGAGCTACGGAACTGAAGCTTACACATGACGCACCACACACTGCGACACCGGTCACCCTCTTGCACAGACTCAAACCTCTCTTGCTGGCTGAGGGCAGCTGCTGCAGGCCTGTGCTCACAGTCACACCAACTGATGATGCCCTCAGAGACACGGAGAATCCGTGGCCACTCTCTCTGCCTCAACTGCCCCACGCCGCGCTGCGCCTCCTCCCGCCCCAGCTGAGTGTGACAGCTCCTTCTAACTGGGTGACCATCTCTGTGTCTGTGTCGCGGCCCATCATTACTGGAGGTAAAGCTGACCTGAGGTTCTCTTATTTGGGTTATTTTCTCCCAACTCTCACAAGTATGAACACAACGACTATGTATTTTTTTAGGATACTTATTTACTTGAAATACGTGAATGAGGAAAGAGAAAGTCTTAAGTCTAAAGAAGAGTTTAGATAAAAGAGAAGCCTTCTCTAGAAGCTGTTACACGGGCATGGAGGGATTTTATAAAAGTTCCAGGCCCAGAACATGACATCCACAGGGAGATTCGTTATACAATGTGAACAGCTCACAGAGGAGCTTGTGGGCCACAATGAGATAAATGACATTGTATTTTAAATTGGAATCTGAATATGTAAGTAAAAGGGCTTTTATGCCTATTTTTATCATAGCTTCTTTTTTGGTTTGTTCTTCTATATACTTTGGTCATTTTGTCTTTTCATTTAGACTATAATTTTTTTTTTTTAATTTGGCATGACACGTGCTGGCTGCCTCCTGGAACAAAGTAACATCTGAACTCTGGATGCAGGCACATAAAAGAATCAAGGAGGAGGACAAAAAACCAGGTCATTATCTTTCTTCTATTTGAGATTTTAAAGAAAAAAAGAAGTTTTTAACAATCCAAATGACTCTACTTAATATTCCTATAAAAAAGAATGAAGGGGATATACCAACATTTTTGCAGTTGCCAAGATGTTATATACAAAGCACATCAATTTTTTTTGATGTGAATATTTTTATAATGCAACATATTATATACCTATATATACATATACTGAAATAGAAATTTACTCCTATTTTATAAAAAAAAAAATACTGATTTTTTTTAATGACATACTGATTCCATGACCCACTCCAGGGTCAAACCAGTTTAAAAAACAAAACAAAACCACTGATATGCAGAAAAGAAATTCCACAATCAGGCACCAGGCCTGTATCTGGAAATCTTGATACAAAAGGCAAAGGGCTTGTATGTTTAGGGTAACTTCTCTCCACCCCTGAGCCCCACTGTCATCACTACTGCAACAATCACTAGGTCATCAGAAATGGGACTATAGAGAAATAAAGCTTCTCCAACAATATGCCCCAGGGCAGCAGCAGGGAGCTCTTAACTAGTACACTGGTCACAGCCATAGCAGTTGCTTAGAAATACACCACACTGCAGAGTCAGATACAGCGGGTGGTCTGAGAGAGAGAATAAACTGAAATTTTCTATCCTGAACTATGCTACTTAGTCACTGGGATATCTGTGTTATGCAGGACACAGAAACGGACAAGAAGAGTTTTCAGGATACAGGCAAAAGGATATGCGGCTTACCATCTCCTTCCAAAAAGGAAGCTATGATTACCTGAAACTCTTAAATAAACAAAGAGCCTACAACTAAAAACTTCCGGCAAGCTGAGTGATTAAGACCTCGGTAAGAAAGAGTCCTTTTCCTGTTAACATGTCATCGTGGCAATCACCTCGAAAATCCCGCAGATATAAACACCTCCACAGCAGCTGGTCATTTGAAGCAATAAAGAGATCACGACAAACTGCAGACAAAGACAGAACGGAACGAACATCCAAAAGTCGGAAAATCCGCAGTTTCAGCTCCAATGGCAGGACCACCAAGCCGAATACATCCGGTAGGTTCAGTGCTATAAAGAAAAAAAGAACAGATGTCACTGAGTAAAGAACGTCTAGCGTTCCCCACATATTTAATGGAGGTTACCAACTTGTTCCTAAGTGACAAATTTGACGGTAGTCCCGATTACCCAAGTATGCATCACCTACAACAAATTTTTACCCCAGGTTGGCTATATTACTACTACTAAGTCCCTTATTCCCTCTAAGTTTTAGTGGAAAGACAAATACTTTGCATACAAACCAATGTATCGCTATGACAACTTCTAAATATCAGCCAACGGCCTCCTTTGTTTCAAGCAGTATTCAATGAATGCAACAAAAACTTCTGTATTCAATTACAGAAAACAGACGATTTGTTGGCTTTTATAACTGGTTCCCAATGCTGCTACTTATTAGCTGTGCGCCTCTGGACACACTATTGAACTATCATTCAATTCCCTTATCTATAAAATGGGTTAGCAGTACTAGCTAGCTCACATAGTTGAAAATTGAGTGTATGAATACATACAGAGTGCTTAGAACAATGTCTGGCATGTAACAAGCACTGAAGTGTTCACAATTACTATTCTCTAAGGTCTAGCAGGCTGAAAAAAAGGGAGATAGATAAATATCAGAAGCCAAGAAGGAAAATAATAACACATAATCAAATAAGATTTATATTAGCTTCTTTAAAATTCTGTGATACTATCCTCCACTACTAAGACAATGAAAATCTGATAAAGCACTTTAAAATTCACATTTTTGTCTTCCATCACCAGCACCCAAAGAAAAAAACGATGATAATAGCAGCCTTGGCAAATGCAACTGTAGACCTAAAATACAAGATCCCTACATACAGATGGCAAATAAAAGCCACATATCTATACGTATAAATCTTAAGTTCTTTTCCAGCTAAGAGATTGTGGTAGATTAGGATTCTCATATTCTAGCTTATAATTACACTTCCCCATCATATCGCCATCAGGCTTGGCCATTTTGTTGTGTCCAATAAAATGTGAGTGGAAGTGGCGTATCATTTCTGAGCAATAGTTGTAAGAAGCAAACATGTGGCCGGGCCACTGGCCTTCTTTTCCCTCTGCTGCAAGGAGAGCATGATCTGAAGAACTAATACTCCTTCAGACGAAACTCACCCACCCACACACAGCATGTGTATGAATGAGAAGTGTTTGCTTTAAGTCACTGAGATTTTAACATATTTTCTTATTACACCACAAATATGAGCTAACATAAGAATTCTGAATGAATTATACACCTCACTGAATTAGTTTCATCATCTGTAAAATGAGAATGAAATCCCCTTCAAAGTTGTTAGCACTAAATAAGAATCCATGTAAATATCCAAAGTAGCTAGCATAGAGCCCCAATAAGTAATGTGAAAAAACAAAAAAACTTAGACCCAATTTACAGACTATACATTACTTATATATTTACTGAGCACCTATTATGGACCAGACCCTGTGTTAGAGCATGAGAATACATAAGTGGCTAAGACACAGTCCCTGCTTCCAAGGTATTTAAAACCTCAGGAGGTGCAAAGAATGCACATCAATGCTTATGATTCACTGGAAGAAGGACTACAACAAAGATACGCCCAAAATGTTGTGGAAATACAAAAAGAAGTAAATAACACTTGAGGAATTAACATTAAAGCTTAGTTTTAAAAGAGCAGAACTTCACGAGGAGAAAGCCAACAGTCATATGTCAGGGTCAGAAACATAAGAAACTTTTACTATTCCTTCCAGCCATCTGACCTGTGATAATTTATCATCTCTCACCTTGTCGGGTAAAAGCCAGAAGAGGATACACCAGCTGGTCTTTGAAGAGACGAGAGAGCTTCTGAAGATCTTTGTAGATCTTGGCTACATTTTCCCCTAGAATTTTTTTTTTTTTTTTAATGAAAAACCAAAACAAAAATCAAGTGGCAAAACCTGAAATGGCAACCTCTACTTCTGCCAAACAAAATCAAAATAGTAAATTTTCATAAATAATTCCTACATAGACAGACATGAACCAAAGTCTCTAGAAGCAGTATATGGTGTGCGGCTCTGAAAACTAAATCTTATATGTAAACCTAAAAATCCCATGATTTCAAACTAAGAGAGCTGTACCAACCCATATAAACCTATAGTAGGAAAAACTGTGGTGTGAGAGCTGTACACACACCATGATTTATTGAGCACCTGCCGCAAGTGTCCAAGCCTGGGGTACAGTGAGGAACCTACTCCAGAAGTACAACAGTATTTGTCACATGATGAACATTCTTCAAGCTTTCTTTCACATCAATGGTTCTCCCTAACACAGAAATACTCTGACCCCCTTTTTATAAATGGGACAAGATAATGAAAGCACATCCAAAGCTTCACAGTGAGTAGTGGGCAGGGTACAAACCTAAGTCTGGCTCCAATGCACTCATTTTAGCCACTAAACTGCTGCTCAGAGTGTATGTCACTGATTACCAGAACGGACATCATTTGGGAACTTTTTGGAAATATCGAATCTCGGGCCCTATCACAGACCTACTTAATTAGAACCTGCATTTTCAGAAGGCCCCCCCATGATCCACCTGCACAGTGCAGCATGGGCAGCACTGCCAAATACCACCTCATGTTCCCACTGCAGGTCTGCTGTTTTGTGACCAGGTGTATGATCTTGAACCCTCGGACCCACACCTGTTTGCTCAACTATTTAAAGGAGATACATACCACCACTGCACCAACAAGTGGTTAGAATGTAAAGCTCCATGCACAGTGCCTAGTGCCCCATTCTGTGACTAGGTACTCCGCTATCTCTGAGAAATACAACACTCGTTATCACCTGACTGATAACAAACAAGAAAAGATATGCAGCTAAACTCTAGATCTTCTTTGCATGAACTACAATCTTGGCTTGAAATCAAAATGTAAAGATATTTTTAAAAAATCAATTTGGATGGGGCACCTGGGTGGCTCAGTCGGTTAAGCGTCTGACTTCGGCTCAGGTCATGATCTCACGGTTCGTGGGTTCGAGCCCCGCATCGGGCTCTGGGCTGACAGCTAGCTCAGAGCCTGGAGCCTGTTTCTGATTCTGTGTCTCCCTCTCTCTCTGACCCTCCCCTGCTCACAGTCTCTCTCTCTCTCTCTCAGAAATAAATATTAAAAAAAAAATCAATTTGGATGTTGCCTTTTTTCAAGTGTGAAAATAGATTTTTTTTAAACAAGTTTTTCCCTTAAGTTATCTATTATAAAAGTAATCAGAAACTTACAAATAAAAAGACATAAAAAAACAAATAAGCATATGAATAAGTATATACTACGTACTCCACTACAAGTCACAGTAAAAAGTAACTAAAATGACTTGTCAAATGAGCAGAACCCTACCCAGCATGAAAATACTATATTAAAAATACTTAATACAGCCCATAAACTTACTGTAATAGAACAGTATTAACTTTCTTCTTCTTTCACTTCCTTTCTAACAGAAACCAGATGAATAATACAAATCTGAGCTACAGTCCTATAAAAGTTATTTTTAAAAAACAGTCTGACGGGGCGCCTGGGTGGCTTAGTCGGTTAAGCATCCGACTTTCGCTTAGGTCATGATCTCGCGGTTCTTGGGTTCGAGCCGCGCGTCGGGCTCTGTGCTGACTGCCAGCTCAGAGCCGGGAGCCTGTTTCGGTCTGTGACTCCCTCTCTCTCTGACCCTCCCCTGCTCACACTGTCTCTCTCTCTCTCCTAGAAATAAATAAAACATTAAAAAAAAAAACAAAAAAAAAACCACCAGTCTGAGGAGTCAAGTCTATTACAATCCTAAATTCCACCATTTATTAGCACCGTGACTTCAAAGTACTTTAACCTCCTCTAGACTAGCGTCCTAATCTGTAAAATGGGCAGAATAACCTCCACTACTGTGGAACGTAGTGTATTTCTACTCCCCAGAGCAAAGTCCTCCCTAGTGTGGAGAGAAACACAGTGTTGTGGCCAAGAATTTCAGGTTTTCCTGGTCCCCATGGGGAGACATCTTTAGGCATTTATCAGTCTAGTTCATGCTCCTCAACAGGGGCAGGGCCACCCACAATGGGACAAAAACTGGTTCTCGTAAGGCAAAACCAAACAAACCCTAGCGACAGCTCTGGTTTGTGACCCTCCAGAGGGCCAGCGCATACAAATGAAAATACACTGTACCTACAGTATTAAAATTTCATGGGATAGAATGAAAGGGGGATAGGTTTTCTACAAAGGCTCTTCAAAGTACTGATAAGAAAACGAAGGTTAAGAAACACTAGTCTAGTGTGATGTTAAATGTCCAGAGATAATTACAAATATGTATCCAGATGTCCCCATTTCCTATCAGTTCTGGTTCATGGAAGTTCACAGAACTCAGGGCCTGATCTGCCCAGGAAACTAACAAGAGTAAGTCTCTATGCCTTCAAAGCAAAAATCTAGCTCTAGGTAGCCTTCCCTTAAGACACCACTGCCAATGCCACCATCCCATGACACCAAATCTAGATTTTAAAACCCTCCTAAGGTACTAGGAGGATGAAATGCATCTGTTAAGGCATGTGTCCAGCACAAAACAAGCGCTTAGATGTGGGAGTTCTCTCTCCACCCATCTCCTCTCCTTCAACCACCTACCTGCTTCTCAGACTTTGGATTTAACTAAAAAATTTAAAAGGAAAACTTGTCTTTGCATCTATTAGTGATCTTATAGAACACAAGCAAAACCACACCTAGAATGTAAACTTTTGGTAAAGTTCCAATCTGATCAAACAGCAACCAAATCTATGTCGGTTTAAACTAACATTCTGAGTAGTTTTTCTTCCAATAATCTCCAATAATGAAGTGGCATTATATGGTTTCCACAAAATGCAGATGCTCTCCATATTGATTAAATACAACACTAGAAAAATCCAAAGATTAATTCAGAAATTATGAAACATCAACATAGCGAGTAATCAATGACATACTAGGGTGGTTCCATGATGTCATTCTGCATTCCAAGACCCTGAGTAAAGCAGGAAAGAAACAATACTCTGCAACACTGTCGTAAATTTGCTTTAATCTCATTCAGAAATTTTCAGTCTTGCAAACATTACTGTTTAGTTTTGTTAAAGTAAACCTCTCAAAGCTTCGTCCTAAAAGTTCAACCATACTTATGTTACCTGGTTCTGCTTGGCAAATAAAGGATTCTGGCAGCAGCTGCAATCGGTTCGCACTTCTGAGCTCACTGTTAATCTTTAGTGTAGCTGTAAATAAGCAAGAGAGAGACAAATCATTTTTGTCAATTCTTCAATCGACTTCATCATCTGACATGGTGCCCTTCTCTGCCCCAACATAACAAGGACACACTGTACAAAACTGCTCAACGCTCATTTCCTTCCCCCAAAGCAGAGTCGGAAGTGCAAACCTGCCATGACATCAAGTAAAATCACTCTAAAACACCTCTAAAAACTAAAGTATGCACTTTTATATAGAATCCACTAGGTATTACCAACAACAGCTTATTAGTAGTTGAACATTATGCACCAAGATTAATAGGAGACAGTTAAACATAATAAAATCATTATTTCTAACAAGGTCACTAAAAACTCTATTTACTTTTTTTTTATTTAATCCTTGGCAATGACTCTTGCCTTGTTTATTAAAAGAATCCTGCTAGTTTTCACAACATAATCTCTTTCTAGACCCAAAGGGCCGATATTCTTGACATCATCAGAGGGTTCGGTTTTAACCGTACACACAAAGGCGCACTTCATCTCAGGCCATGAAAGAGCCAGTGATGTGCTCGTGCACATGTGCCCTGAACAGGAGGTCTCGGGCGAAGGAAAGACGCGAAGACACACTGCTCCTTTTCAAAGGACCGAGCCTGGAATGGCTGGCTGCCACGCGAGTCTGCAAGTAGCTGACGTGCCAGGAACAATAAAAGAACCAAATATCAGAAACTCAGATATCTTCAAGACATTTAACAGCCGTTCTCTTTATGTTATGTATCCTGAAACCAGTAAATAGAGATTATCATACAGGTTGTTAAAGTGCTTTTGTAAGAAACTGAGGCAAAAATGACCACCTTGCATCCACCACTTGGTAGCTTCAGCCTGTGAGCTAGGATGGGATGGAGCAGGATGGCTGTGCGAAGGCAGAAGCTGCTGGCTCTGCACGAACGCCTGAGTGAAAGGCTCGCCTGCTACCTGTGAGGAGTCGCAGAAGATATGCGGCTAATCCACCTGCCATCAGACACGTCCTGACTGGCATGGAATACCACCAACACTGGTAAAGCTGAAATTTGAGACTTTTAAGGAACATCTCAGAGAATCCAATAACTAAAAGGAAATACCAAAAATTACATCATAAGGAACATGGAACTATCTTTCACTTCAAAGATCATGACCATGTACATCAGTGGTTTTCAAAGTCTATTTTCGCAGAACAAACATTTTTCAAACAAACTCTCAGAAGGCACCTCAATAACGCAGCAGACGAACACGGTGCTGCTCAAGGTGTAGGCGGCAGTACAGGTTCCACGAAGCCTCCCCCTCGTCCATCTCGGCAGAACCAGTCCCACGGAGCACGGGGAAACCACGGGGCCACGGCGCATCAGAGCAACTGCCTTTGCTACACAAAAGGTGAGCTGCTCTGACAAACCAAAAATGCAGCCACTCCAAGCCCACCATGCTACCTTAGCTAGCTGAAGGATAAACAAATCAAAAATCAAAACACAACAGAAATGAAAAGATTCCAGTCACTCAACTGGCTCTCTAGAACGTGTGATTAGGAAACTATTCCATAGACCCCCTGGTAGACGTATGGATCCCTGGGTGGCATCTGAGCTAAAATGAAATACAAATAAACACAGGCACCACTATCCCTGTGAAACTGCCAATATGAAAGAGAACTAGAAAAAGAAACCAGTCAGAGTGACTTTCCTGAGGGTGCGGGCTCGGCGGGGGGCAGGGATCAAGCACACGCATACTAAAGCGGTGCTCAGCAGTGTTTCTGTGCATTACTGGTCAGAGACGCCAAATGAGAAAAAAAGTGACCCCAGCGCAACCTTACCTCTTACCATCTCTCAGTTCTAGACCTCCGTTAAAAAAATAAATATCAACAAGTCACCCCCCCGGCACAAAGTGCTCGAATGTAACAGATCACAACACCCCCTGCAGCAGTCACATCACAAGGTTAAGGCAGCTGAGGGGCACAGATGTGCGGAGAGAGAAGGCTGCCAGCCTACACATCTACCCACGTATTCTACACACTTTCGGACTGGGGGTATCAGCGGCCTAAGGACTAAACAAAGTTGAGAAAGACACAACTGTATCATGAGAGCCAATCCCGGCAGCAGTTACAGTCTGGAAACATGTCAGTGTCGGTAAGCTAACAACGGTGACTATGCCATCCCGTTACCATTTATGACAATCAGGTTTCCCAAAGGCACACAGGTGAGAGCAGCAGAGCCGCCCTCGCAGAGAGGGTGCGTGTACTGCAGCTTGTACACACCGCCCGACCTCCAGGTCTCTGGCATGGACATAGCTTTGGCCTCAGTCCCCTGGGGAATGAAAGGAAAGAGAAACAAATAATGAAGACAAGTGCTAATCTCAAAAAGGATTAAAAATCCAACAGACCCCTAACTTGTCTGGAAATAAGCATTCCGTATGGTCCCCTTAATAAAATTTGTCACATCATTACCATAGCTAGTAATAAAATGTTGACAGAAAAATGTTAACACGTATTCTCCTCCATCAAAATGTTCAAATGGATAAAGTAATATCAGAGACAGGGACGGATTTCTCTCTTCAAGGACATTCTCTGCCTAGTAAAGCTGTATCGTTATTTAAGAACATACTTCAAATAGCACTGCGTTTGTGAGCCTTTAAAAACAAAAACAAAAAAAACCTCCCGTTTGCCTTTCCCTTTCTTTTATCCTCTAACATTCTGTTACCTCTATTTTTAACACACTTCTATTGTAACGCATTATAGTTTTTATTTTTATCTACTTCTCTGCCCCACTTATGGACTCCTGAGGGACAAGGACGTGTCCCAGTGTCCTTATATCCTAGTTCCTGGCTCAGATCATGGCATGCTGCGGGTGTTCAACCATCACTGACTTGCTCTACACCTCTGTTCCTTACAAAGTGGCCCACAGACCAGCAGCATTACTACCGTATGGGAGTAAGCCAAAATCTCGGGCTGTACCCTAGACTTACTAAATCCCAATCTGCATTTTAGTAAGATCCCCAGGTATTCTTAGGCAAAGGTATGAGACACTCTAACTGTTCTCCTCCAGGACTCTGGCATCCCATATACGTCTCTCCTAGAATTTAACCAACATAGTGATGATTCGTGGACTTGTCTCTCTCCCCAACTCCTGGACTAGAAGCAACTAGAGGGCAGGGACAAAGCACTGCACCTGTCAATGGCAGATACTTCTCAAATGGAGAATGAATGAATGAATGAAGGGAATAATGCCCCTCTTCCTAACTGAATCTTACAACATTACTGGCAATTCAAAGCCATTAACATAAAAAGTAATCCAGAAAGCCATCCATCTAGACATGCCCACCCCACACTCCTGACCACAATTCACTGCGTATTATCATCATCTTTTCACCATAGTTGCCACTGATTCTATAATACAAACTGACAAAACTGACAAGAGAAATTTAAGAAGGAAAAAAGGAAGAGAGAAAAGGAAACATTTACTGACCGCCTACTGTATACCCATCACTGCATTCCGCACTTTACATTTAACACTCAGCTGCATTTAATATAGAGATCTACAGTTCCACAACACCCTAGTGATGTTTATTAATACACCCCCATTCCCAACGGGAGACTGAACCCCTAGCACGACGTCTTCTGTCTGCAGTCTCACCTGAGGTATGTAACCGGACTCCAGCATGAGCAGATGTATTGCCACGATCAAGGCATCACTGGGACTGGCACAGTCAGCTGAGTGATACAGGATCTCTAATGAATGTGGCACTTGCCCCTCCACCGACTCACTGCAGAGCATCGGCTCCGAGGGACAGACACCTGTGGCCCCTTCCATATCCACAACATCTTGAACAGACTCAGTTTCAAACGTCTGGCTAGGCCCCGACTGAAAAAGATAACAAAATCAATGAATTCATTAAATAGACTTTTATTTTTACACAGTTTATTTTGTATCCTAAAGTGAACTCAGATTAGTGCCCAGAGCCAAAACACATTAGCTTCAGAAATGGGACACATTTTAAGTGCACCCTCCTAGATAAATGAGCCAGCAATGTACTCCCCCAACCTGAATTCCTGATTTCTCTCTCCATTAATCCTGGCCAGTATGCCAAAAACCTGGAAATCAACCTAGCCTCCTCCCTCTACCTCACTAACTCCACCTTCACTGTGATCAAAGCTTCACTGAATCTATGTCCAAAATACCTCTAAAATCTGCCCCTACTACTCCAATGGTACTTCAGACTCATTTACCTCCTGACATCCAGCAACAGCCTCGCCAAGTACCCTGACTCCACTTTGTCTTCCAAGATACCCACTGCTGCCAGAGTTTCTGATAACTAAGACTCCAGCTGTGGGAGGGCCTGGGTGACTCAGTTGGTTAACCATCTGAATCTTGGCCTCAGCTCAGGTTATATATGATCTCGCAGTTTGTGGGATCAAGCTGGGTGTCGGGCTCTGCACTGTCGGCACAGAGCCTGCTTAGGACTCTCTCCCTCCCAATCTCTCTGCCCCGCCCTACCTGCTTACATGGGCTCTCTCTCAAAATAAACACATACATAATCTTTTTTAAAAACCCAATTATGTCCCACAACCAAGCTTAAAACTTGTCAGTTATCTCCCCAGTGCAGATAGCAGCATTTCCCTAAATTGTGCTTTGGAACATGACCCTAGATGTCCTCGGGGAAAAAAGAGGTCTACAATCAAGTTTGGAAAATACTACACGCTATAGCCACCGAACCTCACCCTCTACATTCACAAAATACATCGTGGCATGACAGAGCTCTGAGAAGTCCAACAATAATGATGTGTGCATAATATTTAACCAAGAAATACTACCCCCCTTCCTCACTACTCAGCATCCTCAGAACACTTACTTATAATCTGAGGAAAGAAGGGTTTCATAGAGGACATGCTGTGAGACACAGGTCTAGAAAACAAAGTCCAAACTCCTAAACTTCTTAGCACACAAGGTCCTTCATCACTTCATCAGATCCCTGACTCTCGCAAGCCCACTTCCTACCAGCCCCTTCCTCTACACGCCAGTGTTCCCCACCTCTGCAAAGGAGGCAGTGCAGACTACCTGCCTTGCAAAGGCCTTGATTACTGCACTTAATCACACTGTACTACACTTTCCTGATTTCACATCCATATCCTAAAAGAACAGACTACATGTCACCCACTTTTGTAATCCTAGTACAGAACCTGGCATACAGTAGGTGCTCAACAAATGCTTACTGAACCAACGCTAAAGGACAGAAACTTACAATTTCATAATTTGGTTTTGTCTTCAGTGTCTTCTCATTTGTACTGTACAAAAATTCTATAAAACAGTAAAGTCAGATGATGTTGCCTTTTCATACACACTGTAACGGACTCAGATTACATAACACAATCAAGATTACCAGCTAATAAAAATCTGAAATGAACCAAGATCTCCAGACTCACAGTCCAGGCTTTCAGACACAATATACTGCTTCACTAAGACTATGTTCCTTATATTAATTTTGCTCAGAAAGTTTGTCTCCTAAGCATGTGCTCAACTCTTAATGCAAAACACATGTTTCTTCTTTTTAAGGTCATATTTCTATTAAAGAAAGAGCAGAGGAAATGAAAATTATGTAGGATGAATGAAAGGATGGAAAAATAGAAGAAAGCAAAAGGCAGTTCCTCCAGAATCCGTAAGGACCTAGCCCTTACTGGCTTATGAAAAAGATCCAGATTCATGTGTTAAAACTTAGAGGCCAATGACAATTCATACTACCTAAAAAGGAGGCTCCATCATACTTCTAGGCAAACAGAAACTACTTATTAAAACCACTTATCACCTAAATTATGAAGCCTATAAGCACTTTGCTTCTTACTTATCTACTATACCTAACTTTGGGCCATTTTACCAACAGCTGTGTGGGAGAGAATCTTATGTGGAGAAAATATTTAAAAAAAAAAAAAAAAAGTTATTCTAAACTGATAAAGCCACGGGAGGAAGGTATCAGAACTCCCTGGTGAGCTTATCAAGCCTGACTCCCACTCCATGACAACCACTGACATTCTGAGCCATTCTGATAGGATATGAATAGTTATCATATTCTTCATGCATGTGGAAATGGGGGGAATGCTCAGCACCACCTCTTTAAACAGATGTTATATCACGTACACATGATGGGAACAGGTGATGAAAATGCACTTTAGGGCTAATATTAGAGTCTGATACCATGTTATTCCCATTTTCTATTAAAGACTGAAGAGGTACCAGAATTCCCAAATACACAAAAACAAAAAAAATTGATTACACTTAATTACAAGTAAAATTTTCCTATTGTTTCCAGTTTTACCCATCTATTTTCCTTTTTTAAAAAAAATTTTGTAAATTTTATTTATTCATTTTTGAGAGAGAGCGAGAACATGAGCAGGGGAGGGGGCAGAGACAGAAACACAGAATCTGAAGCAGGCTCCAGGCTGTGAGCTGTCAGCACAGCCTGAAACCGTGAACCGCGAGATCATGACCTGACCTGAAGTCCAGGCTTAACCGACTGAGCCACCCAGGCACCCCTCTATTTTCCTTTTCTAGTACTTCATTCTACATTTAATTATACTGTTTCAAGTACTTGAAGCATACTTAGGAGATTTCAAGCTTACTTGTATAGAGGGACTAAGATTTTACAGTCACCCTATATAAGTCTGAGAACACAAAACAACATGCATTTAGAAGTGAAATTACTAACTTGAAGCAATATTAATTTTTCAAAAGGAAACTAGTAAATATCACATATATCAGGAAAAGTTCCATCTTACTGGACACTTTTATACAGAAGTAAAAGGAATGGACCCTTCCACCAGAATCTCTGAATGCGTCTTTCAGCAAAGATGATTCAGAAATATAATTTAACTCTGTAGCTAAGTATGCTTACTTATTCCCTAAATTGCCTCCATGAGACAGAAGCACAGACACACATAATACTTCCTAAAATCATAAAAATACTTTGAGCTTTATAAATGCTTGTTAAACTTGCTTAATCTCTCTGTATACTATTACTAAAAATCTCAACATATTACCGACCTAGTAAAAGGCATTTCTTAATATCTGTCTATACGTATTACCATTTCAGACACAATGAATACTTATATTCATAAATGTTTAAGGCCTGAAAAAAAAGAACCCAGCAACTAAGCTGAAGTGGCAAGTACACACACAAAAAACAATTAACATGATTGCATATGTATTAGTATTAAAAAATTCAGTAAATAAATGTGATCATTTGTGCCATACAAGAAGGCAGGGTAATAACTAAGGAGGTGTTTACAAGGCAATAAAGATAATGAATACAAAGAAATTAAAGACGATCATTGGGCTGTGGCTGGCAGGCCTTGGAAGATGGGGAGAGACGGGAGGAAGGAAAGGCCATGCATCCCAGGTTGGTTGAACAGCCAAGAGCAAAGGTTAGAGGCAGTCACTGGGTGTGTGTGTGTGTGTGTGTGTGTGTGTGTGTGTACGCGCACATGCGCACACACATGAGAACACATGAATGTGCTGCGGGTACAGGGAAAATGATAAGGACTCTGGTCTGACCGGGGGTGACAGTTTACTGGCGGGAAGAATAGAAACTAGTCCTGAAAAGCTGAAAGACTAGGTACCGGAAGAGAAACAGCGTTTTCCTCCTCTGTAATATGACAGGGTTAGAAATACTTGGGTCTTGGGATACAGAAATGCTGAGGCATAGGAGCACATGTACCCCAATGTTCATAGCAGCACTCTCCACAATAGCTAAAACATGGAAAGAGCCTAAGTGTCCATCCACAGACGAATGGATCAAGAAGATGTGGTTTATCTATACCATGGAATACTACATGGCAATGAGAAACAATGAAATCTGGCCATGTGTAGCAACATGGATGGACCTTGAGGGTGTTATGCTGAGCGAAATAAGTCAGGCAGAGAAGGACAAATATCATATGTTTGCACGTATAGGAGGACTAGGAGGAACTTGACGGAGGAACAAGGGGGAGAAGAAGGGCGGAAATGGTGGGGGAAAGGGAGAGAGGCAAACCATGAGAGACTCTTGAATGCTGACAAAAACTGAGGACTGATGGATGTAGGGGGGAGGGGGGATGGTCATGAAGGAGGGCACTTTGGGGATGAGCACTGAGTGTTATGTAGAAACTAATTTGACAATAAACTATTTGTAAAAAAAAAAAAAAAAAAAAAAAAAAAAAAAAAAAAAAAAAAAAAAAAAAAAAGAAATACTTGGGTCTTTTTCAGCTCAAAAATCAGAAGCACTGGTGTATCAACGACACAGAGCTACTACAGAGCAAGTGAACAACAAAATAAAAAACGTGTTGGGAAAAGATGAACGCAGAAAACAGACTGAAGGACAGACACTGGAAGCCTGGGAAGGAAACACTGACAGGGATTGTTAAGGGGCTGGATATAAGTAGACAAAAATCATTCCAGGGTTTTAAGCTCAGGAAAACAGGGGTGCCACTGAGAGAAAGGGCAGCTAGTTTGAAAAGAGAATATTAATTCATATCTCCAAAATTTATGTTGGCACAGAGTCTGAGGTAACAACATTTAAAATCAAGGCATAAATGTCCTGCAAACAATTTGGAAATAACAGGACTCTATAGAGCCTTAATGAGTGGAGCAGACCAGAGAAGCCAGGCTGGGAATCGTAAGCTAAGAGGCAACAACAGAAGCCAAATGACAAACTATCTGAAGGAGCCAGTATATGAACAAAATAAATACATAAACACTGGGCTCTCTGGATGGTCCAACCATTTAGCAGTTTAAGAATTTCTACAAGAATACAATCTAAAACTAATAATAATAATTACCCTGATACGGAATTCAATCGAGGTGTTCAGTATTCTTTATCGATTACCCCATTTCTCATCCTGATACTATTACCTACCATATTTTCATCATTCCCGACATCAGTTTGAGCTGCCTGTCCTTGTAATGAATCACTCGGCTGTTCATCCTGTACGCTGGACTGATTGGAGCTGGTGGCCAAAGAGGGTTGGTCATTATTCTGGAGTGAGGAATGCTCTGAATCTGTGGATGAAGGTAAGTTAGGTGCTGGAATGGCATCTTCAAGAATCAAACATATCAAGTCCCCAGAAACAATCCCATATGAAGCCAAGGTCTCTTCATCTCCAGTGAGGGCATCCTTGTTGTTCAATGTGATTGCAAACCGGGTATCAGAACTGCCAAGAAAGATGGATAAGGATAGTAAGAGCTACCTACCATTACCCACAGCTACCATTACCTTTAATACACTTGGAACACATATAAGATACATGGTATGGTCCTGGAAGAAATAAGTAACGAAAACAAAACAAAAATAAAAAGGAAGCCAAAGTTTTACAAAAACTATCAAAATTATTTGTTGTTATCACCAAATGCCTAAGTTATAGATTTCTAATGGCTACAGTTCTAGCCTGGGGGATAGGATACAGTAACTCTCGTTAATCCATGTTTTCATCAATTCCAAGATACACACTTTACATCCTTTGTAACTTGGCTATCTCTGAAACAGGGATGCTTCTTAAAAGTCCTAACACATCACAGCTTAACTGACATTTTTCTCCTTTAGTGTTACATAAAACAACATGCATCTTAAGAATGACAGCATCTGAGAGTCAAGAAAATATGCTCTTTTTAAAATTATGAGGGGTGCCTGGATGGCTCAGTCGGTTGAGCATCCAACTTCGGCTTGGATCATGATCTAGTAGTTCGTGGGTTCAAGTCCCACATCAGGCTCTCTGCTGTTGGCACAGAGCCCGCTCCGGATCCTCTATTCCCCCTCTCTCTCTGCACCACCTCTGCTCACACTCTCTCAAAACTAAACTTTTTAAAAATTAAAAAATTTTTTAAATAAAATACAAATATGTCACATCATTCCTCTGCTCAAAATCCTCCTCCAATGGCTTCTATCTGAACTTGGAATAGGATCTTTAACATGGCCGCCAAAGCCCAACATCAGACCCCTACCCACTTCTCTTATCTTCTCCACCTTCTCCTCACTGTTCCCTATTAATATCAGCTGCTAATCCATTCCTCAAAACAGTCAACCTCATTGTAACCTCTTGGTCTCCGCATTTACTCTTCCAGATCTTCAAAGGACTCAGCATTCTTGTCTCAATTTAAATGCCACCTCTACAGAGATGCCTTCTGCCTAGCCTCCATCACTCTATTCCATTTTATGTTTTATTTTTATTGTAACATCACTATATGAAAATTCCTTATTTATTGATCATCTCTCCTCCACCCCCGCTACTAGAGTTTAAGCTTCATAAGATCAGGTATCTCATCTGTCTGGTTCAAAACTGTATCTCCAGGGGCGCCTGGGTGGCTTAGTCGGTTAAGCGTCTGACTTTCGCTTAGGTCATGATCTCGCGGTTCGTGGGTTCGAGCCCCGCGTCGGGCTCTGTGCTGACTGCCAGCTCAGAGCCTGGAGCCTATTTCAGAGTCTGTGTCTCCCTCTCTCTCTGACCCTGTTCACGCTGTCTCTCTCTCTCCTAGAAATAAATAAAACATTAAAAAAAATTTTTAAAAAACTGTATCTCCAGCACTTGGCAAGTAGAAGTATTTGTGGAATAAATGCAACCAAAAATTAGTAGTTGAGACAATGAAAATCAAACTGAAATCGCGGCTACCTAGTCAATGTCCTTACAGGACAATCAGCTTATATCTGCTCCAAAATATTAGGCCCACATCCTAAATGAATATTCACAATCACAAAAAGATGAGTATAAACATATCCCTCCTCCTGATAAGTACAAGGTCATCTTTCTTACTGATAACCAGTCATGAGGTCTTCTATAATGAAAACAGCACAAATCCAAAAACTCACTGCTAAATAAGCTAACAGCTCAAATTAGCCTCAAGCCATGAACTCTCATCCCTTCCACATCACAGACTATCTGATTTAAGAGAATTACCATCATTTCACCACAAAGTGGTAAGTGGTAATTAACAAACCACTGCATAACTTTTTACAAGACATTTACACTCAGCAATGCTGACTTCATTAACTTCTTGAGAGGTTAACCAAGGATGTTCTTTGAAAATCATGTCTAATGCTGCATTCTCAAAAATGTTCATAATAATTCATTTTTCTTTCACAAGTAAGTACATTTTTTCTTACCAATTAAAATACATTTGGTAGAGAAGTTACTGAAGTTTTAGAACCTACCCCTGTTTATTAGGAAATAAGTAGCTGTGTTTGTTTTCAAAGAATGTTGAAAATCTGCCAGATGCCCAAAAAAACACCATCCCGACCAGCAGAAAAAAAAAGAAACACGCCTCAAATGAATTATGTTCTCATGGATCATCTATCTCAGCAAGAGTTGTTTTTTTTTAAATAGTATCTAATACAATGTTCAAACATCTACCTGTAGAAAAGCTAAAGAACTGTATGATTAATAAAAACGTTGGCCTTCCCGTTTAGAAAAAGGAAAAAGCTATTTCTAAAGTAACATATAGCTTTCCAGGGGAGTTAAAAACTGGTGTTCCTGAAACTGAAAAAATATTTAAATTCATCAGGAAAAGCCATCTTAGAAACACAAAGCCTTTTAAAGATATTTTATGGTAATCCCAGATCCACTTGCTTAGCAAAGACATTTTAAAAATAATAATGTCATATGGACATATTTTAAAACTGCCTGTTTATTAAAAAAAAAATGAACATGCTTTCAGAAGAATAAATTTACTTTCATAAGCTGAAGCTTACATTCCTTTCAGTTAACCAGCCTCAACTGTAAAAACAAACCCAAAGGGGAAACTAACTTGGGCTCTTTAGATAAACAGTCCTTTCAAGATGGTCTCTCCTAATTTAAAAAAAAAAATTGTAATAATATATACATACATATGAAAAATCTTTTAAAAAGAAGTTAACTTTGAAATTTTCTGGTGAGGTAATGATACCAGCATACAAAATGCTTAGGTTTTAACATCAATAAATAACAAAAGGCATGTCACATAAGATAATGTTCAAAAGTTCAACACCTCATTTTTAATTTGGAGAAAAACACGCTTACTTTTTATATGGTGTCTTACCCCAAAAAGTGAAAGGGTGAGAAGTTCATAATATCGCTTACTTTACTGAATTCCCCCAAGTGAAAAGTTATGTCCTATAAAAAGGATCCACTTAATTAACAGAAAGGTTTTCTTTTGAAGAATTCACCTAAAAAGCCGCAGGGACCATGTTTATTTAAGCCGCAGGGACCATGTTTATTTAAGCCGCAGGGACCATGTTTATTTTTTTCTTAGCGCATTCAAATTCCAAATTTACTAGCTCAGCAAGTGAAGAGGACCATCCTTATTTTTGTCCCTCTACTTTGTTTACGGTCCCCAGAAAATTCTCTCTTGGAAGCAAAGCTGTCTCATTTGCAACCTCATAAATTAATAGCAAAATCTGATCCTTAATTTCTCAATGTCAACTGTCCCCAAACTGCAAGCTCTCCTGGGTCATCCCAAGGCCAACGTTTATCTTAGTTTTAGCAAAAACCACATCTCGCCCAGGGGAGTAAAAGGAGATGACAAACGCCGACAGCCCGCACTCCTGGAAAACCCTCCTGGAAAACTCTACGGCGGGCAAACCAAAAGTGCGAGCACTCAAGGCGGCCTCGAGCTTAGTGCGGCCCCAGCAGCAACCCGCTCACAGGTGGCCTCGACGCAGGGCGGGTTTCTAACTTCTAGAACTTTCCAGACTTTCCCCCTCTGGAATACTGCGACAGCTGGAGACGATGAACTTAAATCCCAGAGAGCCTGGAAAGGTCTACCCCACACCAAGCCCCTCATTTCCAACTTCACACTTTAAAGGGCGCGAGAAGTCTGCGCCGCAGCCGGTCCCTGGTTTCTTCTGCTGCAGAAACGAAAGCGAGGGCTCACCCTGCAGGGAAACGGGGCCCTCGGGACGCCGGGCCATGTCCTCCGCGGGCCGGGAGCCTGCGAGCTGCAGCGCCAGCGCCGCGCCCGGCCTGCGCGCGTCACAGTCCCCGACCCGCAACGCCCCGCTATCGCCCGGCCTCACGTGACAGCCCGGGGCGGGCGCGCGCCCCCGCCTCCCCGCCGCGCGCCGCTCCCGGGCCCGCCGCGCGCCCCCGCCGCAGCTGCCTACCTGAAGCCCCACGACGGCAGCAGGGCCTGGCTGAGGTGCGCGCGCAGCTGCCCCAGCGTCGGCTCCGCGTCTGGCATCTCGAGCGGCCAGGTCCGCTTCTGCAGCCGGACCCGCACCCTCATGGCGGCGGCGGTAGGACCCCGAGGCCCTGACTCGGTGGCGGCGACGGTGAAGACGGCGCGGCGGCGGGCCCGGAGCGGCAACACCGGAGGCGTTGGGGTGCTGAGAAGCAGCGGAGTGAAGGCCCCGCCACGGCCCCTGCCGGCCGGTCTCTGGAACTTGAGCGCCCCGCCCCTCTCTTAAGGGCGCCCCCTGGAGCCCACCTGGCGAGCGGGCCGCTGGAGGCCTGCGCCGAACCAGGCCGCTGGGCGTCATGCGGTCGATGACTCGGCGAGCCACGGCGCCGCCTGGGAGCGAGAGGACCGCGATGCGCAGGCGCAAGTCTGCCGCGGCGCGCCCGTCTTGTGGCTGTCGCCGCTCTTCTGTGGCCGGGCAGTGCCGAGTCCTTCCAGGCGTGCGTGGAGAACGGTTGGCTGCACAGTCTGTGACTCGCCTCTCCGCAAGGCCCGGGCGTGCCTGGTTCTTACCGCACGTCCTCCTTGGCGCCCCGCTCCGGCGGCAGCCATCTGCTCTGAGAAGCCTTAGGTTGAGTCCAGACTCTGGTAGTTTCCTCCTGTTACAGCAAAGTATGAAACAGCTTTTAGTCCGTCTCCTCTATCGGAGAGTACAGTAGTAATCTGCTGCATAGCAATCACCCCAAAGTTTAACAGCTTAAAGCAATGAACATTTATTTTTTTAGATGTTTTATTTATTTCTAGGAGAGAGAGAGAGAAAGAGAGACAGCGTGAGCAGGGGAGCGTCAGAGAGAGAGGGAGTCACAGACTGAAACAGGCTCCAGGCTCCGAGCTGGCAGTCAGCACAGAGCCCGACGCGGGGCTCGAACCCACGAACCGCGAGATCATGACCCAAGCGAAAGTCGGACGCCTAACCGACTAAGCCACCCAGGCGCCCCAGCAATGAACATTTATTGTTCCATAGTTTCTGCACATCAAGAGTTTGGGCATGGCGTGGCTGGGAGGTTCTGTCTCCGCCTCACGGAACACTGCAGTCAAGGTGTAGGCCAAGGCTGCGGTTATGTGAAGTCTTGACTCAGGCAGGGGAACCTGGCTCACTCACAGGCCTGTAGGCGGGAGGCCTGTTTTTCGCGGCACGGATCTCCCCACGGGGCCAGTTGAGTGTCCCCTTGGACGTGGTATTTGGCTTCCCTCAGAACACGTGGTCCCAGAGAGACCAAAGCAGAAGCTACAATGTCTTTTGTGATGCAGCCACAGAAGTCCCATACCATCACTTCTGTCATTGTGACCAACCCTTCGTTGTGGGAGGATCCCAGAGGCATGAATACCAATAGACAGGGATCAGCGGGAGCCACTTGGGAGGCGGCTACCATACTGGGGCTGACAGTGATGGTGGTGGTGATGATGATGATGATGATGATAATGTTGATGATGACGACGACGACTTGGAGAGAGAATCTTCAGATTCCTTCTTTGTTACGATAGCCAGTAGTCCAAATCGTAATAAAAGAGTCAAATGAAGTTTTCTTCCACTAGGTGGCAGCACTTGCCCACATCCTGACCTTCATTTATTAAATAAGCACGTGTTATGGGCACCCGCTTTCTGACAGATACTATTTGGGGTCTCAAAGAATGAAAAGGCATGTTTCTTTTTTTTAATAGTTTATTGTCAAGTTGGTTTCCATATAACACCCCGTGCTCATCCCCACAAGTGGAAAAGGCATGTTTCTAATGGCGCAGAGTTTACAGTTGAGTGAGTCAATTCTTGTAGAGCATAATAAGTGTTTTCTTTATGGTAGAGATAAGTACAATGCTGGGGACAGGGGTGCATAGAGAAGAGCTGTGCCAGCAGGGTTCTTGATTGGCAAGGAGTATGAGATTGAGGAAGGGTGGCAGGACCTGGGTGGCTCAATGCAGCCAGAGGGAAAGACAGAGTGTGTACGTCTCAGATAAAGAAGAGCCTTGAACTAAGCAAAGGACTTGGGACACATTCTAGTATGTTTGGGAAGTCAATGAAGAGTTTTAAGCGTGGGATTCTTGATCAGGTTGCTTAGTTCTGAGCAATAGAGACTAGCTCAGGCTAAGAAGAGAAGGAACCTATGAAAAAGGATGCTGGATAGCTCATGGGATTGGGGGGGGGGACAAAAGTCGTGGTTCCAGGCTAATTCTGGGAGTGAAACTCAGAACCATGCTGCAGAACTCGCCTGATGAGGAAACTATGATGACTGGGATTGCTGCACCTGCCCCACCCGGCCCTGGAGGAACCTGCTGCCACCCTGACAGGAACCACTATGGAATGGCTGCCACCTTCAAATGCCACACGTTTTTGCAGCCTCCTGCACCAACAAAATGCCAAGCCTCCAAAAGAGCATGCTTCCTCGCCTTGCTCACTTCTAAATCAAAGGCTCATAGGGATGCATCTGATTGAGGGAGATCGAGTCCCATGCCTGAGACCTGGATGCGAAGGAGAATGAAATTGGAATACTGAACTCCTTCCTTGGGAAGGACCTAAAATAATTGGAATTTCTGCCAAATGTAGAATGGCTGTTCAAAAGATGGTAGGAAGTCATGAGTCTGACAGGTGTACACCACAAGGGGCATAGGTCAGATCTGAAATACGAATCGGTCAAGTGTAGGGGATATATTAGATTAGAGTTCCTCAACCTTGGCACTGTTGACATTTGGAGCCTCATAAGCCTTAGTTGTAGAAGACTATCCTATGCCTTGTAAGATGTTTAGCAGCATCCCAGGTCTATCCACAAATGCTACTAGAAACCTCTCCCCCAGGAGTAAGAAGAAAAGATGTTCTCAAACTTTGCCACATATTCCCTAGAAGGCAAAATTGCCTTGAAATTAGGGACCAGCTCAGTTAGGAGGCTCTTTTGGTAACTGGAAGAAGAAAGCAAATGAGTGGGATGACAGTAAGAGTGGAGACAATGGACGGGCAGGGATGATGTGACAGAGGTAGAAATAATAGAAGTTGGAAAGTGGCTATATTTGGAGGCCTTATTGGTTAGGATATAACTTCAGCTACCCTAACAGAGATCTGAACAGTGACCTAAACAAGAGATAAGTCTATTTCTCTCTGAGATACCATTCTTAGAGAAGGCAGTGCAAGGCTAATATGGTGGCCAGCTTTAAAAACCATGTACCACAGTCTACCTCTCAGTACTCTGTAACCCTGGATAAGTTACTACCTGTAAAAATGAAAGTAGTAACAATGTTATCAGACAGCTGTGTCGTAAAGATTAAGTGAGATAATACCTTTAGTTCTGTCTTTTGTTTTAAACCAGTACATTTGAGATCACTTGCTAAGACAATGGAAAACTAATCTACCTGGGATCCTTATCTCCATCCTTTGCTCCACAGGGTGCAACCACCGGCATGGCAGAAGTAATCCAATCACAGGTGTTTAGCAGGGTCCTGGAAGAGAACCAGAGCATTTCCAAGGCACCACCAAGATTTAAGATACTCTAGAGGATGATCATCCAAAACTTCAAAGATCCATGACAATGATCTTCTCTCAACTATTTCTCTCCTTGAGAATTTTTTTTCTTTTTGCATTTTGCAGACTTTAATGTCTGCAAGCAAGTTACTGCAACTTTCAGAGTTTTTTTAATGGACCATTTCATAGAATACGACAAAAGGACAATGTTACTCTTCTGTGGGAATATATTGGCTCCCAAAGGCTTTCTTTTTTTAAATAAATATTTTAGAATGGTTTTAGATTTACAGAATGATTTGGAAGACTTATACACCACATACTCAATTTTCCCTATTAGTAATATCTTAGATGAGTGTAGAACATTTATCACAATTAATGAATCAATGTTGATACATTTGTGGGGGTTTTATATATTTATTTTTGAGAGAGGGAAAATAGTGTGTAGGAGAGGGGCAGAAAGAGAAGGAGACAGAGGATCCAAAGCAGGCTCCGTGCTGACAGCTGAGAGCCTGATGTAGGATTCAAACTCATGAACAAACCATAAGATCATAATCTTAACCAACTGAGTCACCCTGGTGCCCTGTGGATACATTTGTATTAACCAAAGTCTATACTTTATTCATATTCCCCACATTTTTTCCTAATATCCTTTGTCTGTCCCAGGATCCTACCTAGGAGACCACATTACATCTGGTCATCATGTCTCCTTGGGCTTCTCTCGGCTGTGACAGTTTCTTAGACTTTGCTTTTTTTTTTTTTTTTTTTTTTAGTGACCTTAACACTTTTAAGAATTTACTGGTCATGTATTTTTAGAACATCCTTCAGCTGGGATTTGTCTGATATTTTCTCATGACTAGACTGAGGTAACGTGCTCCTTGGAGGAAGACCGTTAAAGTCAAGGTTCCATTCTCATCACATCATCAGTGCATACTGTCAATACGACTTCTCACTGTTGATCTTAACCCTGATCACTTGGCTTCTGCTCTGTAAAGTTACTCCTTTTTTCTCCTTTTTATACTGTATCCTTTGGAAGAAAGTCACTATGTGCACCCCACACTTAGAGTGGGAGTTATACCCTACCCCCTTAGGGGTGGAGAGTATACATAAATTATTTGAATTTCTTCTATACAGGAAATTTGTTCTGTTCTCTATATACTCAATCCTTTATTTATGTCAGCGTGGAGTTATATTTATTTTATTCTTTGGCTTATCCAATACTACTTCATTTATTTTCTTGCTCAAATTGTTTCCGACTTTGGCCATTGGGATATCTTTCAGTTGGCTACTGTACACATTTGATGTCAATGTGGATTTTTGTTCACTTGGGGTGTGTGTGTGTGTTGGTTTTGACCACTTTCTTATTTTCTGACACTATACGATGTTTTAGGACCATTTTGTATATATCCTGCCCCAGCCTTAGAATCAGCCATTTTTCCAAGGTGCCCCAGTTCCTTTTCCTGGAGAGGGGTATTAGAAACCAAAATCTGGGTGCTAGGTGTGCTCATTGCTATTGGAGTCTTATTGCTTCTAAGTCTTCTCAGCTGTGTCAGCTGAGAGATATATATATGTACATACGATTTCCATACATAACCATCTATGTCTATATATGAAGCTGAGCATGAGTTCATTTTCTTGTTTCCAACTCTAATCCATTGCCACATGATTGTTCTGGTTACCTTCTTTGTTTATCTGTAACTTCCCAATCCAGCTGTGACAAACCTAGCTCCCCGCCATCCACCATCCATTTACTTAATC